AATAGTTTGTTCCTGTTATTCAGTTTTCACATTGGTGGATACAATAATAGAAGATGATTCCGTTATCAGCAATCCGCAATATTTAATCATTTCTATGATATACTTGAATGTTGCAGTTATGACTTTAAACCGGTAAGAATGTAAGGTAATATAATATGTAAGTAATACAATTTACATAATTAGGTTCTAATATACCCGGCCAAAACTGTGTTTCACCGAAGTATAAAATATTTCTTGTACAAGTCGATAGTATTTGACACGTCTTATAGAGTACCTATTGATGTTTTGGGGAATTGTATGCAGGTATATGATGTATATGGTGTACCGATGGACTAGATTTAAATTTGACGATTCAGTGTATACCCTGAGAAAATAGTAAAGGTACACAAGTTTATAGCCGCATATGTCATAATTCATCCGCACTTACTAATTTAATAATTGTCCTGCTCTCTCCCCCGTAAGACAAAATTTAAAAACCTGTAATCCCCTCTCGGTCTCAATTTTTCACACATATAAAACCATTCATTTTTTTTTTATATTGTAAAGGCTAATTTAAATGTAGATGTGTTTACCCTCGAAATTAATTGCAATGTTCACTAGAATTAATTAACTTATAGTATATCTTAAAATCAAATCATTTAATATAGGTAACAAAAATGGAAAACTGGTTTATGATTTAATCCAGAGTTAGTATTTAGGTATGTAATGTTTTTTTAGAAATTGGAAAATTTAAAAAGGCTGTGGGTTCCACGAGATTTGGTGTTTTTTGCATGATAAAATACAAATTTTGGCGTTTTAAATGCATCGAACTGTAATATTATTATCTCGATAAAGAATACAACTTGTGTGAACCTCCCGAACGGTGTCAATTCCTCAGGTTGGTGAACGCCAGGCACAGTGCGCGTTTTGCCAACGAACTGAAACGCGACAACGGCCTGACCGTGGAATCGGGCAGACACCTACCCGAGTTCTGGCTCCGGATGGTCGGATCCGCGGTGATGCTGTGCATGGTACACTTCAAGTACCGGAAGTTTACCGACATGCCGACCACCACCATCGTGATGCATACCACAATACCGATGTGCTGTTTCGTGTACGCCAGCTCGACGATGGAGGACCAATACACGTCGGCGTGCGGCGCGCTCGCCCAGGAATTCGCTGCCGTCAACATCCGGGCCAGGGACCTGAGCCGCGATCTCCAACTGGACATCCGGCGCAACCTCCGCGACCAGTGGGCCGCCGCCGAGCGGTTGGCCAGGCTGTCGGACGCGCATTGCCGGCTCGCCAGGCTGGTTCGGCTGTTCAACGACGAGTACGGTGCGCCGATATTCTTCACCACGGCCGGTCTTCTCCTGTGTCAGATATACGCCATGAATGACATCGTGTCAGTGGTGGTCGTCAGCGACACGTTTGAGGCCACGTACGAGAGTTACTCTTACGTTCTGGACGCTTTCACGTGGACGTTCTCGTGGTTCCGGCTCTGGTGGATTTGCTACCGGGCTGACAATCTCACGGGACAGGTGAGCAAGAGCCTTCGCATGATTATTAATAAATAGAGCTGCGAAGTTTTTTAAATATGATCGGCCAATCCATTGTCCACGCGATCATTGTACGATGCGCGGGTTGCCTAGAAAGTAGGGTTACCACGCCTACATTCAAGGCCGTAACTGGTGGGGGGTCCAGGGGTCCGGACCCCCCCTGAAATTTTTAAAAGTAGAAACATTTTAGCGGTGAATATTGTTTAACTATACTAAAACTATACCTAGAAAAAATGTTAGACCCCTCCCCCCCGAAATTTTTTTCCAGTTACGGCCTTGCCTACATTGTGTTGTATTGTTAATTACCTACTCATTACTTATTAGTGTATGGACCAATCATCAAGTTTTAAATTAAGAATATTGTCTAGAATAGGTATCCAGAAGGTTTCATTGATATTTTATTTATAAGCGAGTTGTGAGCTTTTCAGTGTTGTAAGATTTCACAATTTTCTATCTTACTTCAAAATTAAAATACCAATAAAAACCTACCAGCTGCTCTTCTAACTTTAAACTCTTTCATTTAAATTTGATAATAGGTCAACACACTCTAATATTAAAGCTAACAAAGTAACAACACAAAATTAGTACTGTTGAACTCAAATTTGAAATGTATTATATGTGGTACGTACCTACGCGTTTATAAGAAGGAGAAAACATATAGATAGATGTTGTCGACGAAAGTGTCTTAAAGTCTTAAATGCCGTTGGTAGGTCGTTATCGTAAAAATATATTAATTCATTATTGAATATTTGAATGCATTACAAATAGCAATGTTTTATTTTACCATAAATTACTAATTGTAATTCATACTATTTTTATTTTAGGTTCACTTGACGGCAGAAATAATGTTCGAAAATGATATAAACTCGTACACAGAAAATACAAGAAAAATGGTAGGAAATTTAAGTTGTCATGGCGCCCGCAGATGGGTGCCGGGGAGGACATGGAACCCCTCTATTTTTAGTTTTTATATTTTATGAATGGTTTCATCACTTGTAACTCAATTGTAAGATCAAAAAAATAGTATAGGTACCCGTACTGTTATCCCTGCTATCAGAGATTTTCAACTCTCCTCCCCCCTCCCCCCGAATGATATTTCTGCGAGCGCCCTTGTTAGTTGTTATATTGGTTTGAACATTATTAGTTTATTGCAACAGTTAATGAAATCTAACCTAGTAAATAATTTAGGCAATCGATTTCTTAGACCAATTACTTCATCGCCACGTAAGAATTACGGCGTGGGGGTTCTATGATGTAAATAAAGAACTACTCTTCATGGTAAATATCAATGAAAGTTTTATTTTATTTCAGAGCAAGTAATATTCCGATACTCATTAAATTAAAAATTATTTATTTTGCAGGTGTTAGGTTATCAATTTGGCTTATGTTTGATATGCACTCAATTTACGACTTCGAGCATACAACTAGTTAATAATATAACGACAGTTCCAAAGAATTCCTCATCTTCTGTAGACAACTAATCATGAAAAATTAATAATTAAATGACAAATTATTTTCAATACCTATCTAATATCTCTTTTTAAAATTAAATTTTATAAATTATCTACAAAACCTACCTACAACTTACAAGTAGGTACATAGATTGTTTTCCATTTGCGTGTGCTTTATTTTAACTTAATATGTAGGAATCTGTAGAATACTAGAATACCAATACAATGGTAGGGATGTAGGATTGGTAATTACCGATCTAATGATTAAAAATCTGAAAATCTATTTTAGTTTTAATTTTTTAACTTGAAATGATATAATAAATACCTTTTGTTATTCCATTTAAAAACCTATACCTAAGTTTTATTTCATAAACGTTATAATATAATAATCTGTTACATTAATATTTTAGGACGTTGCAATGCAACTCGCTAATAAACGACGCCGTGTCTAATGTTGTAAAATTAATAGCACAACTTTATCTAATAATTTATACTCGAACAGACCTGGAACGACAACGATAAATGTAGGTAGGTACCTAATACCTGCCTAATAACTCAATATTTCTCACCCATCGGAAAATATAAACGCTTAGGGTAAGCGGTGCTAGGTTAGGTAGGTAACATACCTATACGCAAGTGTTTACAACTCGTTTAAAATTTTAAATAGAAACATTTAATAGGTACCTATAACCTATTTGAAATTCTAATGACATATTGTTTTTTAATTTATGGATAGAATAACAAATTTCATAATTTCTTGCAGTGCTGGCAAGGTGGTAGAGATACCAACCACCATCGCTCTATTGGTGGGTACACTAATTATGCACTAATTAACGTTGAGAGAACGGCCGTGCAGGCAAGAGTCAAGACCAATTTAATAATTTACTAAATATATAATACAAAAATAACACTAAACTCTACAATTTAATTTTCTCTTATTCACTTTTTCAAATCCATTAGCAATTTTTTTTAAACGAATCTTTGGTAAACAGCAATTTATTTGTCTCCGCGATTACATTATAAAATTGTATTTTTACAAATTTAATGTAATACTAATGTATAAATTAACGACTAAAAATAATCTTGTAGAATTTCAACAGAAAAACTGAATATTCCCAAGTTATTCTATGTTGTCTTCAAACCTGTAGGTACTTGAATTTAGGGGGGCCACAGTCTCTCTTCTTTTTATAAAATATTTATGCGTATCTCGTACCCCTTCTATATTCAACTCAATAAGATATTTAAATATTCAGGTATGCTCATATTTGTTACACTTGTATATCCTTTCTAATTCTCTCCCAATTTAGGTACTGCCTCAAACAAAATATCTCAGTCACACATTTTTCTGTGACCCATCTTACATTTATATTAATGGTAAGAGTATAAAAATCTGAAAACTTAGATTTAAAATATTTCAACATGACAACATCTAAACAGCGAATATTAAAATAGTCTTTATTCCTTCCATCAGTACATTTCTGAAGGATACAGAATAAACTATTGCATAATTGTTAATAATAAAGTAATTGCATAATTTGACAATTAAAAGCACAAAGAGAAAAAGTTTACCATTTTGAGCTAAAACAAGTACTAGTCAAGATTGTTGTCTACATGCAATAACTAAGAAAATATATGAGGAGGCCTATCAAATCCAACAATGTCCCACAACAAAATTATACAATTATTGAATATAGCTAATTGCTACTTATTTTTTTATTCTATAAATGAAAAAAATGCTTTTAAAATGTGTTATGTAATCTTAATGACTCAGTATACAAAGTGAATTTTTAAAAATATTCTTTTTAAGTTTTTAACGCATTCCAAAAAAAAAAATCACAAATATTCTAAATAGGTAATATTAAGTGAAAGACAAACAAAAAATAGCAAATTTTATTAAATTTATTTAATACACTAACTTTTTACATTGGCAATAGATTAAGAAAAATTAATATTTAATAGTCTTAGAATCAACCATATATGTTGATAAAATATAAATAAAAAATTGATAAAATAACTGTCAATAAGTTATTTTAATAAAACTAAACATACAAAATACGAATGAATGTGTCTTATTAATAAAAAAATAACACTTAGGTGTATTGTTAAGTTAATATCTAATTAAAATAAATTAATATGTATAAAAACGCACCGAATAGGTCTTATAAACAGCCTGTTCTGAAGGAGCGAGATGTTTTGTACTGTGATAAATTATTATTTACATGGGCACAGAGTCTTTAAAAACTAATTTTTAACGATCTGAGTTATATCCTGGGAACAAATACAACAGAGTTTTAGCTAATTTCACATTTACATTCATGGGATAGCTCTTCCCCAATTCTGCTCTACATGACGGACATTGGAACACATCAGCATTGAATGATCTTCTAAGACAACCCTGAAAAACATAGTTAGTATTTTTAATAATTAACAATTAAAAAAACATACATACATCTTAAAGATAACTTATTTTTACTTACTTTACAAATGTTGTGAGAACATTCGGTTGTAATTGGTTCAAATACAATTTCTTGACAACATATACAAGAAAACATTTCTTCAACTCTATCCAAAAATGCCTAAATAATTGACCCAAAAAAGAAAAAAAATTGTTAGTATGTTCAAAAAAACTTCAAAAGAGTACTACACAGTACGTACTTTTTTTCCTTTTTCTAAAAACTCTTTACAGTCTGCCCAATATTTTTGATTGGCAGTGTCAGCTGTAATGAGTTTTTCTGCTTCTTTTTCAAGTTCATAGCTAATTTTTAATTTCTTTTCAGTGCTATCAGTGATTTCTTTTTCCAAAGAATTACTCAATGGATCATTATTCTTACACTGTTCATTGTCAGCATCCTGTAATGTCCTTTTTCTTTTAGATCCAGGTAATTTTGATTTTGTTTCGTTGGTAGTGACAGTATGTATATAGTTTTCGGGATACTAAAAATCACACAACATTATTAACACAATTTACAATATTGTTTGTAATAACATTTAACTCACAATTATTTTAAGACCTAATTGTGCTATACGCTTTTTGCCTTGTGCTGTCCATGGAGCTGGCGTGGGATCATCACGTCTTAGCACAAAACGCCATACTGTGAATCCTGATATTCCAGTTTCAGGATAATATTTTGTTACCTTATACAGACCATCATAGCTGTAAAACAAGTAATTTTAACAATTGTTATCTTTATTAAATTAATACTCTTTAAATTTTTAACTGAATAATTTAATAAATTTAACTAAAAACAGTTTAATAGGATATTTAGGGAGCAAAATAAGTACTAAAATAATAAATATTTTTTAACTTTTAAATAATAAATCAAACATATTGAAATGTGTTTCTAGGTTGTAACTCTTAGTTGTTATAACCCAACCAAAAACATTTGTTATTTTTGTAAACTATTATTAAAATTACAATTTAATTTAATTTTTAAATTAAGGTACATTCAAACAGAAAACAGGCTGTCCAGGCGGTCTCTGTAAAATAATACAACCGCGATCAGCAAACTTGTTTGACACAGCAGCTTACTCTCTGTTTGACAGCGCCTTTAATAAATTATATTAATTTTAAAAAATTGCTGCTTGTCAATTTTTGACAAGTAAATATTGTACAGTCCAATCATATTTTTATACTTTGTAAATTGGTAGTACACATAAAAAAAAATTTATCTTTTAGCCCTACCGATTTCCCAACTCTGGTGCATATTTGGAATGTTTAGAAAGTTTATAGTTTCGTACGACTCTAACTGGTTTGCCTTTTTTCCAATCCACAGCTGTAGCTCCCTTTTCACTATCAAGTTTAGCATTACAATTGAGTGCCAAAGCTCTGAAATATAAATTTGAAAATTAATAACATGAAAATGTACATTATATTACATTGTGTATATAAAGAATTCTATAGTATACCTATTATAGCGTGTCAATTCTTGGTCACAACTCTGCAGAGCAGTACGTTTGTTTCCTGACAAATCACGTCCACCAGAACCGGTATACAAGAACTCATCACCATTGTCAACGTCATCTTCATAACCACCACTTAACACAATGCTAAATGCACCCTGGTTGTCTCTACCATGTATTCCTCCAACAGGAGGTCGGTGAATGCCAGCTTCAGATACCTAATAATAAAACATTTATCAAATTATTTGAAAAGCTTTAAAGATTTTAACTACTTACTTGTACACGAAATAACCATGTGGTCCCAACCTCAACACCGGGAATGGGACCAAAATGGTTTGATGGCACAATATTACACTTTTTTGTTCTTCCAACACATGCCATACCCTTACCCCAGTCTCTTTTTGATGTTGACATAGATTCTGGCGTCTTTTTCTTTGAAGCTTTTAATTTTTCTCCAGCTTTGACGATTTCGTTTTCATCATTTTTACATGAAGGACAATACCTTAAAAATTATAATACTACATCAAAACACTCAATATCTTAAAACATAAGTGTAATAAAAATTGAAAAATGGGCTAACCAATCATCACGTGGCATCTCTTTTAAGGGTGGCTTAAGGCATTCCATATGATAAGGATGGTTACATTCATCACACATTAACTGTTTGTCTTCATTGTCTTTGCCACCACAAACACGACACCCACATTCCTTACATGATTTGTTAGAGTTGTCTTTGCATTTTATGCAATACAAAGCAGCCGCTCCTTTTCAAGAGAAAAATATAAATTTAATATTTTTTTTTTTTTAAATTTATATTTTATTTGTTATTACTCATGACAGCAGGTTCAGTTTGTATAATTTTATCATCTTCATGTGTCCGCTCAGAAAGTAACTGATAGGGTTTTACTTTATAGATGTCATCGAGAAACACTAAATGACAATTCTTTAACACTGCATTATCTAACCCAACAGATACATCTCCAATAACGTCACGACCTCTTCTATTAGTTTTTATCTCTTTTACCAGTACATCATACCAATAACCACGTTCTTGAGGGTAATCAACATTGTAATTCATGAGAACTCTATCGTTTGTTTTTAATTTTTCAAAAGGCAAAATATCAGATGCATGAGGCCGTATTTCTTGCAATTGAACTTCAATGGGAAGTTCTTCGGGACATCTAAAATACATTTATTAATTGTCATAGAATAGAGAAGAGTGTAAAAATAAATATTAAGCATTTACCCTAAGATCTCTGCAACATAAACTAGCCCATCGTTTTCCACTGGGCTTTTAGGATCACTTGGTTTATTCACTACACAGCTGTCTTTTTTTATCTTGATTAATTTACTAATGAACCACGAACCGTAGGTATAATCTTTTATATCAACATAATCGCCGACCTTAAAATATTTGCTCTCCTCAGAATTCTCCTAGAAAAAAAAACAATATAATAGTTTCGTTAAGTTCAGGTATCTAAAATATTTACTTCACTCAATGTTGAACTGGTGGTAGAAGAACAACTTGCAGTAGGTGTTTCTTTTTTTGAACTTTTTGAATTTGTTGTTACTTTTGATTTTTTTGGAGAACTTATTTCAGCAACAGCTGCTCTAACCATTAGTTGAATAACATCATTCACATTTATGCTATAATCAAATAGCCTATATTGGTCTTCTAGCTGAAACATAAACATCACAATAATTGTTGAGAACTAATACAAATTAAGTTAATTTAACTCAACACATATACATTATGCTGTATTAAAATACATCCATACAAGCATATTTCAAAAAAAAAAAAATGAAATAGGCTGTATTTTATAATATTTAAATACATATTGTATAAACCTATAGGTACGCCGCATGTACAAAGTACAAGTCAACTATAAACTTTCAAAGAAAACCATTCATTTAAGTAGGTACCAATGCATTAGGAACCTATGTATTTGAATATCAGTGATGTATTATAATAATGTACCAACCAGTGACACATACAAGAGGGATGTTTTGCAGATTAATACTGTCATAGAAAATGTAAAACATAGAATTAAAATTCAAAAATATTTTCAAGTTGTTGTTTGTATGTTTTCAATGTGCTTTGAAAAGATAATAGTAATAAAGTACGGTAAATGAATATTGACAAAATTATGATAGAATTGATTCTAATGGCTGCTGTTTCAGGATCACAAAATAATTATAAGAGATAAGTTGTGTGTACATATTTTATTTGTATGAATATTTATTATATACCCGTGAATGTACAGTTAGCTAGTAACTAAGAAAGTTAAATAAAACCCATACTTGATGCGATAAGAGAAAATTATAATAATCTTTGTTAATAGAAGAGTTTGGCCTTCGTTCAACTAGATAACCAAGCATATACAGGGTAATTCATAAATTGTGTAACGAAACTAATACAGATTGCATTAACATCTTATGCAATCTACATACAATTTTAACATAAACAATTTGGATGATAATTTTATTTAAATAGAATTAATATTGAACAGTATTAGATCATCAATAATGACATAAACTAAAAATAGTTCATCAAGAGATCACCTGCTATGCAAACATACTCTATAATATTTTAAATTGTTAAAGGTATATATACTGAAATTTATTAGTGTGCATAAAGAAAATTGTACATACCAACATGAACTTATTGGCTAAACAAAAATAATTCTATGAGCACTTAGGGAAGTGCATCATAAATGTAAAAACAAAAAAAGTATTTAAAAAACATAATACACCTAACTTAAATTGCATGAGTAAATAAGTTCTATACAAACAATTTCTTGTATAAGCAATTTATTGATAAAATTGTAAATTACTATTAATTGAATTGATAATATGTCAGTAATGACATAATTATATGCATAACATTATTGATAATTTAAAAGTACCTACCTAGAGTGGAATATAAATTAAATATAATCAAAATTGCATTATTTATACACCTATCTCTATCATCCATAAATCTAAGCTTCAGCAAAAATTTTATTTAAAAAGCTTCATCAAAACTAGTCATGTTTATTTCAAAATGTTCATAGAAATTTTAAGTTATACATTTTAATAATTATTGTCTCAATAACTCATACACTGTGTGTCACATTAAATGGATAATTTTCCATATTAGAGAAACAATGGATTCAAGAAAGATAGTCTGCATGAAATAAAAATATAAAAAAGTGATTACAAGTTATTGTTAATACATATTATTATGCACACGCCAATGCCAAAAAGAAAAACCATATTAATGACATGCATTCAACCATGGCATTAAACTATTTGTAGATGCATCAAGAACCTGAACCAGAAGCAGTACACACAACTAAGTCAGTTGTTCTTACTTGTTTGCCAGCAAAAAATAATCTCTGGTTTTCCGGCTTGATGTTGAATTTTTCCTCGACGAGTTTCTTAAACTCTTTGAGCACTGTTGTCCTGGATGTGGGTATTGTGACCGACACGCCAGAGTCCATCATTCTTACTTGTACATACATGATCACAGTGGTTTAACTACTGCAGTCAGTACTGTCAGACAGTTAATCTTCAGTTTCTCGTTGACGTCACGCCAATGGCGGTGGTACTACTCTGAAATTAGTAACCGATTAGACTTCTAGAACACACCAGGGCAGATTTAAAGGATGGCCAGAAGTGCATACCCCTTTCCCACTATAAAACCTATAGGGTAATAGTACAAATGTGAGCCCTCACACAAGACAGAGGTAAAAATCACCCATATAAAAATATTACTTGCGTGATAAGTACGCTAATACTACAAAGTATTTCTGACATCCAAAAATAAATTTAAACAAGAAAATTGCATAATGTTTATACTATAAGTAAAATAAATTTAACTAATTTATTCAAACTTAGAACAGGCAATTAAATGTAGTACCTAGTTGTTGTGATTAAAATTTTTTTGTTTTAGTCTTGCATAAAAAAATTCTTGAATCCAATTTTTACGAATCAACGACTACTGAATTCAACAATATTTTTTTAATACAAACACTAATTGTTAATTGTATACCTTACCGAGGTATTCTGATATATTTTATAGTAATAAATAAAGATGTTCATTATAGCTAATAATATATAAGTACAATTATACTAATATAAGTATTTTTTTTTTTACAAATACGTATTTAAATATTTCATTTTGTTTTGAAAAATATTGGGCCTCCGTCCCTACAAAAAAGTCAGGGACACACATTCGACAACCCCCGCAGAAACATGTTAACCGAGCTACTAGTTTTTAAATTTACCTGTTTTGAGTTCTCATGAAACACAGTTCATCATCATCGTTATTCGTCACGCACTATGAGACGTGGATACTGAAATACTGGCGATCGGCGAAATCTGTGACGAAAACGGCAAAGCGGAGACCTGACAAAGGGCAGCGGACAGCTCTGGGTCAGTATTCGGTAAACAATTGAAATGGAAACACAAAACGATTTTGGCGGGATGGCGAACTGCGAGTGACTGTCGTTGGAGTGCGTGCAAGGTACTAGCCAGTACTCAGTAGTAGTCACCAGGTAATGAACGGCGGCGAACAGCAACGCATTAATGCCAATGCGCGGCAAAAAGATAAAAGCAAACTGATACTAAACGCGCGCGAACACGACCGCAGCCGACGACTGTAACGGACTCTTGAAATCACATTCGCGATTGGACGACGGCAAGTCCACAGAATATTCTGTGGGGAGTCTAATAACCTGTGGATGATAAGTGATAACACTATAAACACATTACAGTATTACACGTCATTTAAAATATGGTGTGCTCACGGGTATAATATACTATAATATATACTATATATATATCTGTGGGTGTGCTAGAATCTAGGACGTTTCCCCTCGTGCCTTTTCGCCCCCGATACAGCGGACGTTACCCCCCCCCCCCCCCCGAACAGACAAAATCCCCATGGACAAAATCCTCACGGACAACAAAATGATTTCAACAATTTCAATAAATTCACTAATATAAATATTAAAAATATTAAACACGATGCAAGTACAAATTATAAATATGATATAATTTAATAATACAAGTAAAACAAAAAGTACCTAACTTATACTTTTTATTCTGGTAATATAGCTCACCGAAATTAAAAAATTGTAAATATCATTTGAAACATTTTTACATAATTTTTTAACCTGTCTTCTTTATTTAAATTATTACGAAAAGCTCCTACTCCATAATTTAAAATGTCTATTGATGCACTTGAGTAACTCATCTGTAGAGCTTCAATAAAAACGTGAATGATGATAGTTCATAGATATTATGATGATGGTTGTATATTTAGGGTGAAACCAAATAACCTATTTTCCAACCTATTATATTCATCCGATTCATGAATAAAACCATATATGAATTGATTCAGGTGGAAAATATCTCTGTCTGGGGGGAAACGTCCAGTACCTCCAAAATTGTCGGGGGGGGGAACGTCCCAATACCGCGGTGAGCTATGAGCACTGAACAAGATTTCAAGACGCCTGCAAGACGGTCAGTGCGTTGCCTACTAGGTACTTTAGTCTTTTTTTCTATGATCAGTGTTTTAAACTTTAAAGTTTAAAGTGATCCAATAGTATTCTTGTATATAGGCTGCTGTACAGTAGGTGACGAGTGTTTCAATGTCTTAGATATAAATTTGAATTCAATGCTACAATATCAATAGGTACATCATCGTGACATCGTATACCTATTTGTATAATATGAAAAACGATTCTGAGCGGAGATCAGAAGAGGTCTTGCTTAACTCTGACAAGTATATTTCATGATAATGTGTTTATTGATATTGGCATATTGCTATTAAAGTACCTAACAGTAAATAACTTTTTTTGCTGTTAATATTATGGGACGTTGGTTTAATTTTTACCGAGAATATTGCATTCATTGGAGCGCCACTTTAGTCGACATAAATCTAGCACCACCGTACATACAACCCAAATTGCGAATTTGACATGAATTTCGTCAAAATTTGTACTTTAAATGCATATCAAAAATAATCGTGCCCATGTGGCTATATATCTTTAATACTTTTGAACTGCGTTTAAAGCAACTTATGAAAGCATTTACATTAAATTGTCAGGCTTTTTTACTAGGTGTAAAAGTTTTTATCGACAATAATTTAAAACAAATTTATAAAATTTGAAAATAGTTCACGGTTATAAATAGCTCAAGCAGAGGCAAAATATTTTGAAGCTATTACCATAATACCATGAATGGAAAATCTTATAAATATTTTGCTGAAGCTTCAAGTGTCTATAAATTTTAGTTGTTGAATAACAACAAAATATTAAAAATCGATTATTTGGAATTCATTGATAACTTAATTTACAGCTTAATATCAAGCACCGTAAACATTTTATATTCAAACCGTAGCCATTGGCGTGGATGCGTGGTCGACTTCGGTGCAGACCGTGGGGGCACAACAATTGTTTTAATTGTGAGACCTATTTTTTTTAGACATGATGAAACATTCATTTTTTATGTTACACAATTCACGATGGTAAGAATATATTTTAATAATGATTAAAAAGTATAAGCATTGTCAAAACAATAAAAATATATTTAAAACTAAATTGAAAACAGGTACATAATAAAGAAAAATTTCTCCTGGCAAGATGTTGAGTCTGCCGTAGGGACCAGTGCTCGCCCGGCCCCTACTGTAAGCACGCCAATGATTCAAACGCCTATAAAAATTAATATTGTATTCCAGACTTCCACAAAATTGTTTTGTGTTAAAGCCTTAAAGGTAGAAAAATTCGTAGAACATTTTTTACTAAAATGTCTATTATAAATATATTATGAACATTTTAAGTGTCCAGGATAATAATTAATAGGTATGTTTTTGATCTAGATACACAAAAAGAATAGTATCGATGTTTTCATAAATTAGTCTTACGTAAACATTACCATTTTTTTAAACTTATTTTTTGTTTCTCCCAACGTTTTCGAAAACTTTGGAATTTTAAATTTTTACATCCCAACTAGATTCACTTTCGTATCAGAAAAGATGATGATTTCAAAAATCGGAACACTCAAACTACCCCGTGGCCAATGGTCGCTATGCTCAAAATCTAACAGGAAAATTTGTTTATTAAATGTTAGTATTATCATTGAAATAATTGTTTGGTTAAAGAATGACAAAAATCGCAAAATTTACAAAAATAAAAAATATTTTTTTTTTCAACATTTCAAATCTTTTTACTTTTTTTTCAACATTTCAATTTTTTTTTATTTTATTCTTTTTTTCAAAATTTCAAATTTTTTTTATTTTATTTCTGGCAATAATTTGACATTGATTGTTTGGAATGTCTCCATGTACTCTCAGTGGTGTTTGAGTGCACACATGTCACTGGATCTTGAAAGTGGAAACTATGGTTTACAGTCATGTGAACACATAGCCTTCATCATTTAAGGTACTGTAAGCCTAAAATAAAATAATTTATTAAATTTATAATTTAAATATAATATGCAAAAGTATACATGTCCACGTAGACATTTTTGTTCAGTTCGTAAAATACCGACATTTTGCAATTTTGTGATTAAACCTATGACGTTGTTTAGGTCTGACCACTCTTTAAGGTCAAATAAATTTACCTACTTGTTTTTCAGCTGCCATTGTTCATGTTAATTTTAATGTTTTATTGTTTTCACTGAAGTATAGAAAACCGAATTGATCGATAATATTTCTTACGTAGTAACGAAAACTTTTGTAGATATTGACATTTCTATGTAATCGAAAACTTATAATAGGATGAATGTACTTAATTTTCAATTTTATGGTATTTTAATGGAACAATAAACCTAATAAATTGTGTTATTTTTATAATTTTTTTCGTTTTCCTTTTTTTTAATCCGAGCGGTAAATGATTCTGTGCAACAAATATTCATTTTTAATTTAACTCCGTGACTTATTTTAGGTAATATTACATAGCAGATTGAGGGATATTTTATTTTTAATTTAACTCCGTGACTTATTTTAGGTGATATTACATAGCAGATTGAGGGATATTTTATTTTTAATTTCCCGAGCAAGCGAATGACTCCACTCGCAATTTCCATAAAAACTCAAAATTATAAAAAAAACAAAAGTAGTGGTTCCGGGTGTCGAACCGGGCTTTTCAAGTGGGAATTTGGAATTTGACCACATCTGTCTTCGAGAAAGACCAAATTACTTATTTAAGAGAATTGTGAAAAAGCGCTTAACTTCATAAGCCTGCACTTAAAAACTAAGTCTGAGCCCCAAATTCTGATTTCACCAAAGTATATTACATAGGTATTTAGGAAAATCTATTATAAAAAAAATGTAATGCAATTTTCATCATAAGTTTCTTTAACGCAAGTTCAAAAATATTAAAGATACATAGACAATAGACATGATTAATTTTATATGCATTCAAAGTTCAAGTTTTGACAAAATGTATAAAAGTTTTTCATTTCATAGCTAACATTAGAAATTTAACAGAAGATTTCCACAAATTGTTCTATCTTTCACAAAAAAAAATGTACACGAAAGTTGTGCTACTTGCCTACTTAGAACTAAGAGTTATTATTATATTGAAATTAACTCTGTTTTAATTATTCAATTTGATTAATTATATAAGTATGATAGCCGCTAGGGTAACAAGTCTCTTCTCGCTATCGTTTTTCGTATGGAATGGTTTATCATTGAATACAAATACAATCCATTTATTACAATAATACATTGACATACCTACCTAGTGTCCTAGTCAATAACTATTGTACAGCAGAGCGTTACCCACTTGTCGTCCTTTTTTTTCCTATTCATATTATTCAAGGGTTGCCATGGGTTACTACCCCTACTCTCAGTGTCATACCTACATTTTGAGAAAATTGCAATTTTTAGATTTTTCCCTTTATTTACACTATACGACATATCCAGTACCTACCTATCAAATTTCACGTTTTTCCCTACGCGGGAAATACATATCTTAGTTATTGATGGTCAGTCAGTAACATAATTTTAAACTTTGAAGGTCTCTCCATTTGAAATGGTTTAAGCTAAGGGCTCAAATTTTCAAAACCTCCTAAACTACTTAAACTTATGTTTCAAATTTCAAAAGTCCATTTTAAGAGAAAATAGAGATAATACGAGGGTTAGAAAACATAGCTGAAGCTGTGCATGGAAAGATATACTGGTATTGCTGGAATCTTGGACGGCGCACCACTGTGTGCTCAGTTAATAATACATTTATAAGATAGGTAGTCAAATTTTGTTATATTTAATATTTATTGTGGTAAAAAATACTACAGCATTCAATTCATCTACTTTCTGCTTAATATACATTTTTAGTTTGACAAGAGTAATGCATGATTACTTATGAACTTCAGGACATGGTAATTAATTTGCAGTATACATAAAATATAGTAATAACTAATAAGTGTAAAATATAAGACATAACTTGAACAGAAAAAAAATTATATTTAAAAATTTCAATATAAATATATGAAAAAAATGTATAATACATTCGAACAAAAATATTCAAACTTCGAAGTAGGTATTTAAAATAACACAACAATCACTTGAAACCCACATTTAATACTAAAAAACAAATGTACCTGTTGTGTAGTGTAAAATTATTAATTATAATATTACATTAAGAGGTATCTCAAGTCACTGCTATTTAATTTAGTTGTACAATGAAATTAATATCTACAATATTCTATCATCGATGAATCTATTGGTATTGTTGTTTTGATTTAATTTAATTGATGATTATTGATTTTTAATAGAAATAATTTAATAACTTACCATTGCTACTGGACAAACAAGGTGCTTTGTAGTTTTAACACCACGCAAACAACATATTTATGGTGCAAGGGTATTTTTCCATACTCTACATACAATTTATTTACCAATCTTAATTTAATTACTATAGACAAAATCACATAATCCATGTTTAAATATATAATATTTAACACCAATAAAAAAAAAAAATTTCATATGTTTTTTCTTACAGTGAACTTATAGACCATAAGTGAAATGGGATTTTCGCAGTGTCAGTATCGCCATAGCTGTAAGGCCACAAACGCGGCCGGGGTCCCTCCGGTTATTTTTTATAATTTTTTTTATTTTCTTGGCATGTTCCTGGTCTATTTTCCCTTTCTAGGGAGTAGGCACTCCACTAAGAAATTATCAAAATATTTAACCGTACAAAATATTTTCTTCACAGAGCCAAAGTCCATTCATTAGGGGCCCCTTTAAAAAATTGAACAATATAAACAATGTAAAAAGGTACTGTCAATTATATTTAGATATATATACATATGTATATTAATTCCATTGATTAAATAGCAGTTTAATTAATTTAATCGATGTTACACATAGTAATAATGATATATTAGATATTCATGGGTTCCACTTGTGTAAATAATATTTGTATATTCACTGTTGATGTGCCACTGCAAAATCATTTTATGTTCCCCTGTCTTACTTATGTACTCAGTTGTTTGGCTAATGTTTCATCTATGTTAATTTAGCATTTCTGAGTTATTTCCAAACTAGAATTTTGGCTAGCATTGATTAGTCTTCTCAGTTTTAAGAATACTAAAGCTCCTATTAAATAATATTACTAAAACCAACTACTGGATTTAATAATCTTTTATGGAGTTAAATTTACTCTTAGAGGATAATACATTCAACAAGAACAAATTATTTTTAAACATTACATACTGTATTGAATATTTTAAAGTTATTTTTGAACATAACACATTATTTTGAATATTTTAAAATTATTTTTGAAATGTTTAACAATACTCACCAGTTTATTTGTTTATTCATTTTCTTTTATGAAATTGAATGTACATTATTGTGCATTAATTTACAAATATGGACAAAATGAATTTTTAAATACAATTTCCTTAGAAAATATTAATTACTAAATATGACTTGAAGAATTGTTGTACCCAAATATGAAAACGTTTTAACCATTAATTGATAAACTTTAAAGGTCTGTGCAATTTTTGATAAATAATAAAAAAAAAAAATTAAGTAGATGCTCATTCAAAAATCCATTACTTGATCAGAAAGCTGAAAAATAAATATATATTTAGGTTATCCAACTGTAAATAGCAATAATTAAAATTTTTAATTTAATTTGTGAATATTACCTATAAGGATATCCATGTGCTTTTGATTTAAATATAGATAGAATAACGCTGAATAAAAATACAACCAATGCTAAACCACCAACAGTCATTATTTTACGTGTCTTAGAATCTGTTTTCTTGGTATAAGAATCGATCATTATCACTGCTCCAAACACCAATATTGTATCTATAGAAATATTAAGGAAAACTTGTTTTTGTTTAAACTGTGCACTTATTTTAGTATTTATAAATTATTTTTTGTTAGACACAAATTGTTATAACTAACTGAATGTAAAAATGTTACAATTATAGATTCTAAGATTTGTGGTGTCATAGATACTTTAAATGGCTAAGCAAATAATGTGCATTATTTTAGGTTAATGATTATTGATTTGAGGTCAAAAATTTTTGAATTAAAATATATATAAATAATAAAGACACATAAACTATTTATAAAATAATAGTTGGTTGGTGCCATATATCTGTATATTATGTATTTATTTGTGAAGTGAATAGTTTTTATTTGGTACAATTAAAATTGTTGTGGTATTACATATTATGTACATTTTAAACAATATTAACTAATTATAATCTGCTAATCTCTAATAACTCAAAATATTTGAATCAAGTTTATAGGAGTTAAAAAACAACATTTATTAATCCCAATAACACATAATAACAAATTTAAATCAGTTTTCAAGTATTATTACATCACTAGATTAGTCTGTATAATTTACAATACATAAGAAGGTTTTGGTTAAAATAACTACTGACAGCCACAAATCCTATAAAATTAAATTAATTATTATCTTTATTATCTTATTTATTAAAAATTATAAATAGCAGCGCGGAGCTTAATTAAATTTATATTTTCATCATTGTTCATTATTGACAACCCACATTTATTATAATATATTAATATGCCTAAATAGATTTATTTTAATAATCATTACCTTTTTTTTTAGTATAGTTTATAAATTTACATTGGTAGCCTGGCGACCTTAGAGAGTCCACCCAGTAGGGACTATTTCTACTGTACAACCTCTGATTCTAAGCATAAAAACTTAAAACCTCCCAAAAAATGACAAACCTTCTGGTTTACAATAAGTAATATGGATATTCCTTTTTTAAATCTTGACATTTGGTGTGAAAATTCAGCCAAACTAAAACTATACTATACCATATATAAGATAAAAAAGGATACTCAATATAATTATGATGTAGGTTTCAACAATAAACTGTCCTTGTGAAGAGTTATGAATGTATGTGATAATGCCTTGCTGATTACGATGCATTAGTGGTGGGCCTCTTATATGATTCCACATTTGTCCAGAAATCATATTTAGACAGAATAACTACAAGACATAGTTCAATATTTTGTTGATTAATAAAAAACTACAAAAAACTTACCACAGAAAAAACTCCCCATAAGTTTTTATTGAAAAACATTTCCATATTATTTCGCCTGATATATAAAAATGATGAGCATATTGCAAATAATATGGTTAACGCCAATGTACTTGAATAATTTGGTGGTCGGAATATTCGTATCTATAATAAACAATTTGATTCATATGATTATACATTTTATCATCATAAACATATACATAACAGTATAACTTATTATTTTATTAAAAACTGAAATTTAACAAACTAAAAAACATGTTAGTTTTTTATTAACAGTAAAAGGACTGAACTGCAAAAATATACTAACTTGAACATCAGTTCTTTCTTGTATCCATTTGGCAATCATTTCTGATGCAAAACCAACTCTTTGTATATCCATAGTATCTAAAGGTTTGGGTTTACCTTTTGCTGGAAAATGCATGAACACTGGAGCGGTATTGATTCGCAACTATATGAATAAAAATATTTATTAACTAATTGTTCAGAAATGAAAAACAATAGTATATAATACTAACCATTTGAAAAATGTCAGATCCCTCATCAAAGTCAACAATTCCAAAGTATAAAGGACTTTCAGTTAATCTATGAGAATAGCGATATGAATTTGCTACAATTATAAATTCATCACTAGCATGCCTAAAAATATAATAACTTTGTTAAAATAAATTCAATATATAAAACTGGATGGTAAAATACTTTAGTCATAACTTGAGATATTTTTCAATGAAAAATTAAATTATTTAAAAAAGAAAAAATTTCAAGTACAAATATAATAAAAAATCACCCGCATATTGAACATTGTCTATGAGACGCCATTGCAGTGAACATCATAATAACTGAATAGTTTCTTGGTGGTGATTTGACTAATTCCTTAAATTTAGGACCATTAAATTTAACTAAAAATTTCTTTTGGTATAGATCATTTAGCTGCTGTACTTTTTGATCAAGGCTCTAAAATACAAAGTTATATGGTGATTAATACAATTTGTTATTAAGTTGGTTGTTATTTAACCTTAATTATATATATGCATAGATACTACTCTTAACACTTCATTGTCCTTTAGTATAAATTGTATTTTGCAAATAAAAACATAATAATATAATATTTTTTACTCAGAGGATATAAAATTATAATTAAATGTTCAAAAAGTTACAAATATGTATCAATCAATTTGTAGTCTGAAAGTCTGATAGATTCTCTAATAGAGTTATTGTTATATTAACTCTTACTGTAGAGATTATATAGATTTAATTTATTCATCAACAAATAGGATTGAAAAATCTACTAAACATTATACGTACAATGTTTGACATTACCCAATGTGAAATAAGAGTGATTAGTATAACACTGGTTATATGAGAAGTCAATATATTAACATCGCTTATGCAGTCATGCTATTTTAGAATACAAAAAAATAAAGAATTTGGTAGTAAAATGGTTATTAATGTTAGTATTTGTCTTTGTTTTATGCTTAGTATTAATTTAACATTGTACAGAAATAAGTATTATTTTAAAAAGTATTTAAAATTGTAATTTATTTCTAATGTTTAATCTACTACCTAATATTGTTTTGTTATTTATTATGTTAAATTGTGTTGTACTGAACTTGCCGCACCCATCACACGCTATGCTTTTGAGGCAGCGTCATAAGCTGTATCTACTTTCAGTTTTGGTTGTGTCTTCATGTAAACATATATTTTGATAATAAACAATATTATTATTATTATTATTATTATTATTTTAAATTTTAAGCTCGGTTTTAAGTTTATATTAATTATTATTTATATCAAGATCATTAGTAAAACAAGAATAAATATTACACGTGATAATTATACTTAATAAAAATTTTGTTTTGTTAGAACAAATATGCTGTTTATTGATGAAGTTCAATAAATTAAAAGCCCTAAAAGCGCAAATGTTCATCTATTATGTTCATCTAAAAGTTAGAAATTTACTTTTAAGGTATTAAAATAAATTGTGGAATTTTTATTATTTTGATATATGTACACAAAAAATAATGTTCTAAAACTTTTTATAGATACCTAGTAATTGATTCCAATTAAATTTTTTCCAGAAACATAAGTACTAAAAATATGATATAGTATACAGATCTTACCTTAGGGCGCTCTTCCCTAGCGCTTTCGACTAAGGAATTTAACACAATAAAAGCACAGAGAAGAATGGTTTTTAGATACATTTTTAAAAATTTTGAGAATGTATGTGAACTAGAACGAAAAATTCATACTGATTCTGGAATACTGAATAACTAACGTTGTTTCAACATCAATATAATATTGTACACAATTTCACATGAACTACGATTTCTTCAAAAGTTGTAGGTATGTATAAAAATGTATGAATATCGAAAAGTACCCCAGCACCTATTATAGGCTGTAAACAAATATAATAAAATAAAAATGTAGTGACGTTGACGTTATGATACAATAAAATTGCAGAACACAATTTTCTTGCCGGTTTGATAACGTCATGTCATCAAAAAAGTACTGCCAACCTATATTAATTGTAATCACCGGCAAATAGTTCACCCATATCCACAGAACAATAATATTATGATCTCGAAGAAGCTGATATCTTCCGAGTACAACAACAACTACTACTGCCTGATATCGATGTCCAATATTTGATCTATTTCATTGAATGTTTATTTATCATCTATTTCTCTAGTCCGAATTGTCTGATTATGAAGACTAAAGAGCTTTATAGTTAGTAATTTGCATAACATATTGGCCATACTCTATAGACCCTAATAAATAACGTCAAAATATGTTAATATATTATTATCTAGGCTTTCGTGGTAATCATTTACGTCCGAGATGGTATTTATGATAAATGAAATGATAATGTTATTGCCCTATTAGTAATTTGTGCGTCCTATTATTGCCTAAAATTGTTTTCAAGTTGTTTTTTTAAATAACTATATTAATGTAAATTTAGTTAACTTACCAGCATAGGACATAGCACGATGCACCGTATTTACTAGATTTTTATCTTGATTTTTTCACGACGTATTTGAAAAATGTATAAATAACAATTTTTAAAAATATTTTTATTTTTCGGTGCCTACTTGAAATGCAATAATATTTTTGTTTACTAATTCCATGTTTAACCTTTTTGACCTTATTTTGTTTACTTGAAAATCATAAATCGTGTATGCCCATGTCCTATATAAATGTAAATTTCAGTTGAGAACTAAGTAGTGTTCAAATGCAATTATTGTTAACTGTTTTCATTTGTCACACAAATAGTCTACATTCATCCTTATAAATATGACAATTAATAAATTTGATTATTTATACAGAAAATTGCTGCTTACTAAATACTTTGTGAATGGTTGGGGTGATCCAGAAAAACTTAAAAGGTGAGTACCTAGGAAAAAAAGATCTATATACATTTCAAGATTTTTACTTATAAAATAATTAAAATACATATTAATGCTATGGTTATCTTATTAAATATTATTTTTCATTGATTTATGCCTACTTAATTTTTAATTATATAGAATTTTGGAAAAAAAAAATTGGATTTATATTGAAATATTTCAGTCTAATGACTGCGAAACCATAACTACTAACAGAATTTTTTTTAAGGGGGGAGGGGGGGGGTGACTTCGGACCCCTATATCCCCATCCCAGTTACAGTCTTGAATGAACTATTCCTGACCAATTTTTATTTTAATAATATTCTTACTTAAGTAGGTACTACTAATTACCAAATAATAATAATAATGTTACATGTTTAGTATACATTTTTTCTATTTTAGTTTGTTTCAGTTTAGAAATAATATTATTGATCGAGACTCCTGTTTCAAACTTGTATCGGCCGATTATCCTGTACAAATTGTTAAAGTAAATAATTAAACTCATATTAACTAATTCTAAAATATATATTACAGACAATTGTAATTATTTATTTCAGAAAAAAGAAGATTCTGATTCAATAACATTAGAAGGAGTATTTCAATCACCTTTTTCTTATTATCTTCCAGATATAGTGCCAAAAGAGAGTCACCTTGCTCATTTCCAAGTTTTATTACCAAAAAAATGGCCCTCCAAAAATGTAAGACCTATGTGTGTACACATGGCTGGCACAGGAGATCAAGTAATTACTTTACTTTTTCACATTAAAAAATAATTTTAAAAAAAGGTTACTTAAAAAGTCATTTTGGGTATACTATAAATAATTCATTTAAATTTTTATTTTTGTGAAATATTTCAGCATTATTGGAGAAGACGAGCTATGTTAGCAAACCCACTTTTAAAAGAAGCAGCTATTGGATCAATCATATTAGAAAATCCTTTCTATGGAAAAAGAAAACCAAAAAATCAAGTGTTAGTATACCATTATATACTTAAGTATGTTTAAATATACCAATGGTTAAATTAGATTCCCGAGCTCGATATTAGCCACTATAAAGTGATAGATTTTCAGATGAATAATTATAGTTGAGTCTTGATAATTCAAATTTTTTTCTTGTCCCTTGAAGTGTTTTAAGTTGTTGGAATACAAAAAAAAATAAGTCGAGGTTAGTGAATCAAATGTTTTTTTATTCCCCTCGAGATTCAAGTTATTTAGACTTGACTGTATTTTATTTTTACTGTATTAATGTTTTGTTTTAGTGTATGTATTTACACTTTAAACTGTGGTATAATTTAAATTTAGAAAAAACTACTTAATTATGAAAATCTTGGCTTAGCACTTTTTTGGTCATTTTCAGAATTTTAAACAAAATATAAAAAACAATCTTTTATGCCTTTTTTTCTCATTAAAACTAACTCACCTAATTGCTTTACTAATAAATATTACTTGTACCTCCAACTTTATCAATTATTTGTTGCTACATTATTTAGACACAACTTTAATTTAACTTAGTGCACCTAATATATGTTATCTAGAATATCACTTTAAGAAATAAACTTGGTTAAATTGGTTAATTCTTTATGAGCTTTGTAAAAATGCATGATTGTTATTTAGTTGGTATACTTAAAGCATGACATAGTTATTCATATTCTCATGTGTATTTATTTACAGTAGGTCTATTTTATGCAATGTTTCCGATATTTTTGTAATGGGAGGTTGCTTAATATTGGAATCTCTTGTATTATTTCATTGGTGTGAACGTGAGGGATTTGGACCAATCGGCGTCACTGGTTTATCTATGGGCGGACATGTAAGTGTTCTTAGTAAATACATTTGTTTATTTTAAGAATTAATAAATTAACATTTATTATTAAATAATTGCAATAGGTAAAAATTTTATTGTGATACTCAATTTCGTTAACCAAAACCAAACTACTAATCCAGGTATGAACTATAAATATGCAATTATAGTTCTATTTTTTGTGTAACAGATTAAAAATTTAGTATAAGTTCAAAAACTATATTTAACTCAATACTTATAAATTATAATTTATAGTTTGTTGTATTTAATTTCCAAAATGTTAAATCTTTAATTGATATTCTTACTGCAATTATTTTTTAGATGGCATCACTAGCTGCTGCAAGTTGGCCTAAGCCAATTGTTCTTGTTCCTTGTTTATCTGGTACAACAGCTTCGGGAGTATTTACGGAGGTTAATATAACCATAATTTATTTATTAGTGTGTACCTAATATATTATAATATGATCTCTTATTATCCTCTCTCAAGAACACTTAATTAGTTAGTTTCAAAAAAAATTTTTAATTTTTGTGTCCATGATAGTTAAAAATCTAAGATAACTTATTTATGAAAGTGCTTTATTATTAATGTATATTAAATAAATTAGTCAAGTAAGTGCTAAATTCTAGGTTGGAGGTTAAGAATTTACAAGAATATAATAAGATATAATTTATCTATGAACAAAACTAAAATATTAAAACTTTTTTGATTATGGATGCATAAAAATCATTTTATAGAATTTTATAAATTATATATATTAGTTATGAGTAATTTTTTGATAATTAAAATTTTTTATTTTAATATAGGGTGCTATAAGCTGTGCTATTGATTGGAATTTACTTGAAAAACAATATAAATCGAATTCTGTATATAAAAATGAAGTTGTGAACATTGATAATGAAGTCAACAAGTTGAATGTAATTACTTTTATTTACTGTTGTAAAAAATAATTCTAATCAGTGGTGGTTTGTGCAGTCGTGCTATGGGGAACACAAACACCTGGCCCTTCCTAAAATATTGAAATAAATAATTTAATTTAAGAATTTATATTAAATTAAAATGTGTTGTATTGTTTCCATAGTTCTATCAATACATTTAGTTAGTAAATATGATAATACTATCGAAATAAAAAATGCAGGCATTCTTACCTTTAACACGTTCATAGAACTCAAGCACCAGGCTTTGGGTACATTCCCAATGTGTACCGATTAACAGTAGTAGATTTACCCCGCTTTTTGATAAAAATTATTATATTATTGTCAGTCACAAACATGGATTCATTGGTCTTATCGTTTTCATTGTCATAATTATGTTTGAATATTTCTAGTATCATAAACCTACCTCATAAATGTGTATTAAAAGTTTGACAAGACTTGAGTTTAGTTAAAAACTAACAGAAATTATAGGTGGTAACTGGTAAGTTGTGATAATAGAGAAAGAGGTAATATTTGAATATTTGTGTTCCACCTTCTATGAACCCCATGAGCTGCCACTGATTCAAGTATGGACTATTATTTTCATTTTTCACTCATGTAACTAATGCATTTTTATACTCAAAGTATAAGAGGGTTTTTTTTTATCTATTATTACAATTGCAATTTGTATGACCAAGACCTAAGTATGAAATTATTATTTCAAAATCATTAATATAAGTGAATTACCACGAGATGTGAGTATAATATTATACTATAAATTATTATTTTTGGTTAGTTAAATACATTTTTAGTAAAATTAAATCAAATTGTCAAATGAAAATGTATAAAAAAAATACAATTGCAATTTTAAAATAGTTAAAATTTAGATTACTTCATACACAAAAGCCCTAATTGATTATTATTATTTGCTTAAATGTTATAGATAAAATTTAATGCTGGTAAACAATTTATTAAAGATATGAATATTGATTCACATTTTAACATCCAGTCAAATTTAATGTTTGATGATTCAAAAAGTGATAAGAGTTCATTAAATACAAGTCAATCTCAACAGTTAAATAAATTTAAATTAACCAATGCATTTGATAATTTGGATGATCCATCAATCGAAGAAAACAATGAACTACAAATTAAAAAAGACTTAAAACAAACAAGGCACATGATGAGATTTTTCAATAAACATTCAAAAAGTGAAGGTTGTTTTTATAATATAATATTATTTATGTACATATTATACAATATTATTCATTGTGTTGTTTGTGTTTTTAGATTTAAATTTAGAAGCATTGAGTTTTATGAAAGGTATTATGGATGAATGTACTCATTTAAAAAATTTCAAATCTCCTGTTGATATGGATATAGTAATAGCAGTTTGTGCAAAACGTGATGGTTATGTGCCTCAACATACTATGGATAAATTAGAAGATATTTGGCCTGGTGCAGAGGTCAGATATGTCGACACTGGGCATGTAGCTGCTTTTATACTTCACCGAAATACATTCAAGTAAATTTCAAAATTGATTTAAGTATTTATTTTCACATTGAAATTACCACTTTATAAATTAATAATGCAATACGTTATCATGATTATAAAAACTATTATTATTAATTTATAATTATTTTGAAATTATTTTAAATGTAAACAAAATATATTATACATCAACGAAGATTTCCCACAGAATTTGCTCACTAGGAGCAAAATGTGTTTGGTATAAATATAAGCCGTAAGGTTGATTTATATGAAATCTGTACACATCAATAATCAGTATAATATATCATAACTATTTTTGATCAATTAAAAATTACACTGGTCATTGATTTATTAATCATCATGTAATCACTGTAACATAACAAGTATAAAATATTTTGACTACTCATACTCAACCTCATACATTATAATAATAATATTTTATTATCACATATTGCGGTGTCAACATTAGTAAAGTTACAATCCCAATTGCATGATATTTCTGTCCTTTACTATACCTACGTCAGACGTCAGTACTAAAGTGCGATAGAGTTTCTCAAAGTTGCCCGTAATTATAGAAATTAATTAAGTAAGAAGTAACTTTTATATTTTATTATTTATTTTAAAAAATGTCAAGTGGTGCATTTTCACAATCTGCCCATTATTTCCACGTGTCACCAGTAATATAAACATACATTTTAAACATTTCAAATATTATGTCTTGTATAAACTATTTTCCGACTTATATGATCAAAGTGTTTTTGCCTAAGGAGTGCATTCCAAAAATACAACTTTGCATTTAATATAATGGAAATATAAACTAAGGAATTCATCAATTTGTATTTATGACCTATATCATTTTTATCGTGTATGTGATAGTGGACTTTTTTGTATTAATTTAGGTACATGAATGTAGTAAATAATTTGTCATAATATGTAATTTAATCCCCATTCCAAATTATTTATGATATAAATATGTGTATTTTTCGTGGTTTTGTTTTTGAACATTTATTTAATACAATGGAAGTTGTATGCTAATTTTATGATTTTTATTTTGTTTGTAGAACTGCAATAATTGAAGCATTTCAACGAGCTCAAAAGAAATATTATGATAAACCTTTATGATTGTGTTATAACTCAGAGTTTAAACACTGAATTGGAGTGTTTCATTTAATATAAGACACTTATTGTGTTATTTAGGTCATGAGTGGTTTGCTCTAAACAAATCCCCCCAAACGACACTATTTTTATGAATATGTATAGTATTTTTGTATTATAATATTAAATTTGTTTGTACCAACTACAATGTGATCCTTGTTGTTTTATATTCTGGGAACCAGCACAAAGAAAGTTATGTTCTGTAACGATATATTTTTTTTTATTTGTTAAGTAATAAGAATTCTATAAACCTTCCATATGGAAATATGTCAGAATTCAGTTTTTATGGTACTTATATAAAAGTAAAACAATTATGAATTATGAACAGAATTTCGAAGTTCATGCATTTGCTTTTGTCTTGACAGAATTGTCCATTAATTGCTAAATCAGTTACAAGTTTAAATTACAATTTCTCAAATTCTAACCCTAAGTCTTATTTTTTATACCTATTTAATGCATATTTCACTATTGTTTTTTTAATTTGGGAATTTTTTCCACATTTTGATTGTTTTCTACATGTGTGTAGTAATCAAATTTTTTGTTATAGTTGAAAAAAATAGTTGTCACATACCTATTGTAATGTCAAAAAATAAATAATATATGAACTTTAGATTAATTAGATTACTTATTTTACTATTCCATATTATACTCCCGGCCATGACTTTTTTTAATATACCAGCATATTAACCAGCTTATGATTTTGGTACTCATTATGTCGGACGCGATCTACCAAACTTGTTTTCAAGTAGTGCGGGATCTACCAAATCTAGTATTTAATTTCCGTATTATTTTTATCTTAAAATTTTTATCACAACGAAATAATAATATACAAAGATTATACAAGTATTATTTTTATAAAATACCTTAAACTAAAAATGTTATTTTCATGTCTGATAGAAAATCATCAAATATTGTATCTATGGATGGATGAAGTGATCGCCACTACTCTTCTTTCAACTTATTGCCTTTCGAGTAAAGGTGAAGCTCCGTTTACTTTTATACCTACCGTATCTTTTCTTTACAATACGCCAAAGACCCTCGATTGACTGAGTATGAGCTCTTGTACTTGGATCAATAAAATTTAGGCTATGATTTAATAATCTTAAAATAGTAAATTATCTTAGCACCGCTCGGCGCTCGGAAAAACCGGTAGATCGCCTATTTAGGTAGATAGCGTACGACATCACTACCATAATTTTCTACTATTACGTGTTGGAAAAAAAATAGGTAGTTTAGGTTTACCATTAAATTAAGAGGACAATGTACCAACATGATGTGTTGTCTCCGTTTTCAGGATTAATTTCCAGTTACGTCCCTGATACTATGGCATCTGTTAAACGAAAATTTGGTATGTTGTGTGTAAGACAGACAAGACGTGCGGGTACAACGTCCTCTTAATTTTAGGTAAATGCATAAATTATGAAATTGAAATTTTTGTGTTTACTAAATGGCTAAAAAACTATTTTTAATTCAGTTTTATGAATTTATTTTTATCAAACTACATAATGTACCTATTATATTTAAATAATATGTTAATTGTAATTAAATGTTTGTGATTTTGACAAATGATAACATTTTAACTTCAAATGCTTATAAAAAATTGAGCCTATGTATTTTCAATATTTTTAAATGGACCTGTCCACTGTGTGATCTACCGACAAGTCAACAAATGATTACTTATCAACGATTAAGTGTCATAGGTAGAGTGTGTGATCTACTGTCTACCCTTAACCAATAGGTCGCTACATTTTAAGCTATACTTACATAATAATACTTTAATAACATCATTATGTTATTCAGTGATGTTCACTTTAAAAAAAAAAACATAGGATATCCTCTCATTTATGATTTGAAGGCAATGATGCAAGCATGAGTTGAATATTTCTGATTTTATAAGCTCAAAACATATCATATTCAACCCTTCAAAAAGCCAAGAACAATTATTTTGCAAAGCTCTCAAGGACTGCATTCATAAATTCATTAACTTTACAAAAATACATTTCTTGTAATTTTTCTACTTTTGAATGTAGGTATGTATGTAGGTACCAAATGCCGAATTGCATGAAACATGCAATTTTAATGGTTCAATAAAATTGAATGGACCAATCATGGGCCACTAATTCATGTTTAAGGGACCATTAGTTCACTTCTGATTCATTAAATGTTCAGTGATCGTTCATGCAACCAGGTATAATTATTAAAAATTATTTCATGTCCTCATAGCTAGGTCAGATTTAACATATAAAATGTAACATCTCAACGTGATAATGTTATTCGAAATTAAATTATAGGTAACCCTGTGATGGAGGCAACCTGGGCGATAAGCCGATACCAATAGATACCTACGTAATACATTATACCTATACTTATTATATGTACAGGCGTACAGCTATGCGTGGTAATAATCAGTCTCAATTATTTGTAACACAGTTGTAAGTTGTAACTTATATAGATTTATAAATGTCATATTATATCAATAATTAATAATAATACTGAATATACGAATAACAGGTTGCTTAATTTAAAAAAAATTTAAGGTGTATTATAGGTAGGAGCGTACTATACGTGCATAAGCATAGTTGTACACCGAATTGTCGACAAAATAGCCTCGTCGTTTGAGACCAAAAACTTCTGCCCAGGAGTATTCTTAGACGTATCACAAGCGTTCGACCGTGTCTGGCACACCGGATTACTCTTTAAGCTAAAAATGTTCCTTCCGACTCCACTCTACTTGTTTTATTGACCAGATCATATCTACAAGACCGCTCATCTCTCGTCCGCCAAGGAGACTCCCTCTCATCACAATTCAAAATCTTAGCAGGAGTACCCCAAGGAAGTGATCTATCACCAGACCTCTACAACATTTATACAGCTGACATTCCCAACTGCGAAAATACACTGATAGCCACTTACGCCGACGACACGGCAATCCTCTCATCCCATCCCGATTCCACAACAGCATACCAAAACCTCCAAATTCATCTTGACAATATTTCACAATGGTCCACCAAATGGAGAATAAAAATCAATACAGACAAGTCCTTTCACATTCCTTTTACTTTAAGAAAAGCTGTTCTTCCTACAATCTATTTTCAAAACAATCCAATCCAAACCACAACTCAAACCAAATACTTAGGTCTAATTTTAGACAAGCGTCTAACTTGGGGCCCACACCTCAAAACTAAAAGAAAGACTCTCAACACCAGACTTCATCTACTACGACCTATCCTCAAGTCCAAACTCTCTATTGACAACAAATTACTATTATATAAATCAATGCTAAAACCTATCTGAGCATACGGCATACAAATTTGGGGATGTGCCAAGCCTTCCCAAATACGGACCATACAAGCCTTCCAGTCTATTTCCCTTCGCCTAATAACATCCGCGCCATGGTACGTCTCAAACCTCTCACTTCACAAGGATCTTAAAATTGAAACAGTCTCCAAAACAGCCAAAAACTACTACAAAAAGTTACACATCAAAACAGCTAACCACACAAATCCATTGATTTCCAACTTGGCCAGTGAATTCATGCCAAATAACCCCCCACGTCGATTAAAAAGACACTGGTGTCGTGATCTCCTAAATCCTGAACTGCACTAATTGAAAAAAAAATAGAATAGAATAAAATAAAATAAAATAAAATAAAACTTTCTCCCCCAAGTTAGTGGTTATCCACACTGGTGGACCTCCCTCCTCACGTCATTCATGTTATACCTACCTTTTCTTTGTTATCATATTTACTTATTGTATGTATATAAATTACAGATTGTAAATATTCTATTTTATCTAATAAAAAAAAAAAAAAGTATAGTTGTACTATTTTTACAGACAATACGCTCATTCAACAAAGGATAATAATGGGTAACCAGTGGCGCGACTTGGACTAAAATGTTGAAGGGGCTGCAGTCCCCCCACCTATACTAAATGAAAATTATAATTATGTAATTATATTACTCATATAGATACTGTCGTCAGCATAATTAGTCTCTAATTCAATCGTTCAGTGCTTTGTACATATAGGTACCGAGAGTACTGTAAAATTATGCATAATAATCTACCTATATATAATTGACATACATCGTTTCCTCAAAAACGAATACAAGCGTACAGTTAATGATATTTACCATTTTATCATAGGCAATATAAATCATTTTGAACTTTTTCCCAAAAAAAAAAATTACAGTTGAATATTTATAATATTTTAGGAAAAAATTGAATAATTTATTTTAGGGGGAGCTAACCCCCTTAGTTGCTGAGTCGGCACGGTCAAGCTGGACCGGTGTCTTTAGAATAATAAGTGTATTCCGATATTACGTCTTAACGTTTTTTCTATATATGACACGGTTAATTAAATATAAGTGATAGGGACAGTGAGTGTAACGGGTGCATCGGCCAAGCTTAAAGAAGCGGACCGATATGCGGTTAGAGCTCATAGACGATTGGCACTTACTTCCGATCCTATATAAAATTATGTAAGGAACTAGGGAATGTACATAGTACCTATTTTTGTGGCTGTACGCCTGTACAGTCATGGGGACAGAGTTACTCACCGGCGGTGCATAACTTAAAAAAGCGTCTACTGCACGATGGAATAACCTCGAGGCTTGCTACTTTAGCAAGTGGCTCTGCAGTGGGAAGAGGAGAGTTGGCTTGCAGCGGCGGTCGTATGACCGCCGTACCACGGGGTCTCGGTAGTTCTATTGTCCTTGGCCTGGCACTCTGCGACCGTTGTATCTCCTCGACGGTTACTTCTGCTGGGCTGGAATGCCTGGAATCGCGGCTCCGGATTAGTCGGATGACTTTTCCTGGCCGATGCTTCAAACTCGGGTAACGCCGATGAAATTTCAAGACGCTTGTACAGGGCGATCCAATAAGTATGCTCACCCCCCTTTTTTTCTTTGATAATGAAGTTTCTCAAAATCTGATTTTCATATTCTTGAGATTTTTGTACCACTTAAGGAGTGTCCTGTGGCGATACAAACTTTTGTTTTCAAATGAGAACCCCACTTTTTTACTGTAAATTATTTAGCGAATAACTTTTTTGAGAATTTTGGTGTATTGAAATCAAAATTCGAAGGAGTAGTTATCTAGTTATTACACATTTTGTGCTGAGGATAAGATAGTTTATAATAGGGAAGAAGGATATGCCATATGCTTATACAGTATACGCTGTTATCTATAGTCTATAGACTCTATACACATAATATAAAATAATACGTCATTTTATATTTATTTAGTCAAACACTTAGGTAAATAGCAAGTAAAATCCTTCTTGATTTATTTAGTTATTCTTCTTATTACATGTGTAGAACTGTATACAGTTATAAGTTTATCCCTATTATGGACTATTATCCTTAGTACAAATTGTCCAATAACTAGGAAACCACTCGTTCGAATTTTGATATCGGTACATCAAAATTCTCAAAAAAATTATCCACTAAATAATTTAAAGAAAAAAGTGGGGTTCTCATTTGAAAAACAAAGGTTCGTATCACCATACAGGACACTCCTTAAGCGACACAAAAAATCTCAAGAATATGAAAATATGGTCTTTGAGTACCTATATTTAAAGATTTCAAAAATCAGATTTTGAAAAACTTCATTATTAAAGAAAAAAAAGGGGGCGAGCATACTTGTTGGATCACTCTGTATATGATCATTTGGGCTATATCAAGCGGTCTTTGAATCTTCCGGTCTTCAATAGTTTTCGTTTTCTCGGAGAGGTATTGATTATTTGGTTATTGATTGAATACTGATATTGATATTTACCTCGTTGTGGTCTCCCCTATGTGTTGCCCCGGTTGTTAGAGATGTAGGACAACTTGGACTTTGTCATACGCGCATACAGTTGTCCTAGCGGTTTGTGTTAAAGTCCTGTGATTTGATTGGTGGTTCTGAAAAGGACCGTTTTTTAGTGTGCTCCGTTACATTGCGTTTATGGGGTATACCCTCAAAAACTTTGTAAAATTTCCCGGTAGGCCAAAATTGGCCTATCCGCCCATGGTCGAGGGTATTGTCATTTGTCAAAATACAAATTTGTCAGTTGCTAGTCTTCCGTCAAACGCGTCGAGTGTGCGTATCATATAATTACTAAAAAAAATGGAGAATAAACTAATCGACTGTACAACATTTTTTGTTGATACTTGATAGTTGATTGCAATATTTTTATATAAATATATGCTTATATCCTGATTGTCTTGTTTAATTGTGTCGTATAGGGTATTAAAACTGGGTATCTTCCCTAATCGTATTATTCATATCATTCTTACTTGTCATCTATCAAACCTACTTATTATACTAGAACATGTATAGATTGTAGATTACTTCAAATAAATAAAAAAAAAAATTGTGCCCTATGTATTACCAGTATAACGTTCAGTGCATGAAAATTAGTTTGGCATTGTATCTAACTCTAAATATTGTTCTTAGCAACATTAACTTTTTACTACCATTTCACTGACTGTTAAAGGAATTAAGTATGATGACAATAAACCAATACAACTGTGAAAACATTCTGTCAGTCAAATGTTTGCAGCAAGACCAGAATGTGCAGTTAACTAAGCAGAATATTGCCGTTGAAGAAGTTATATAGATGATAAATATGTATACATGGTTTGCTGCATAGCTTTCTTCAGGCCTGTACGATTTCAATGTCTAATTGTAAAGCTAAAAGCTAATAAAAAAAAAGATTTCAATGTTTCTTGGAAAAGAAATGCTGTTACCCAAAAATATCAGCATGAACGATGTTGAAGATTATTTGAACCGCATCGACGTCAAAGAATTGAAAGAACGTATTCCGATCGCAGGTACTTGCTTAATAGCAGATTTAAAGATTAACGCACTCTTAGCACTCAAACAATTGGCAAGGTGCTGGTTGTCTTTTTCGCCCGAAACTGAGGTAATAGGAATATATTTTTATGTAATATTAATTTAAACTAAAGAAAACATTTTTGTTTTTAGCGTGAAGTCAGCAGACCGAGGACCGAGGACATTCGTAGCACGTAAAAAATGTCATGGTTTACAAGGTAATTAAATAAATAACAGTGTTTAATATTTACATATTTCATTATAATTTAGATTTTAGCGCTAAAATATTTAACCAGATTCTTCCATGATAGAAACATTACTAACTCTATGATGATTGGTTGGGATCATCGTTCTGTGGTCCAACGTTCAACCATTTTATTTTGTTTTCTTATCCATGATCCATGTCAGGCGAATCGCGAATGTTGAAACTCCATAGTTTTCTTAATCTAGAATTAATACCAAATTACTAAATAGTCCTATATTTTGATGTTCTTGTCGTTCTCGGTTTACACTGTTTTAGTGTTTTTCAATTCTCATTTCATAGATATTAGCGATCGGCATATCGTACCAAATTTGTAGTGTTTCATACTTCGATCACCATCACATTCTCAGTTCTCGCGGCACTATTCTTACCTATTTAGTTCTTACTGTTATTAGAGTCTCACTGTACTCCGTTTTTATCATATTGTATCAATTAATAAAGTTTGATTTTGATTTTGATTTCCATTTAATTATTCATTTTTATTATATTTAAAGACACATTTAAATTCGATCAATTATTGTTTTGAGTAGGTAATAGATATATAGTTATTATATTATTTTTTAATAGCTTCAAACTAATCATGATGAACGGAAGTGTTGGTTTGGTAAGTAAAAAAACTTTTTTTTAATGTAAACGAATAGTGTTTAGTTAGGTATATTATTCATTTTTATCATATTTACCTATAAATTTATATTAAAAATATATTAAATTAATCAAAACTACTTATAAAACATTAAATGTAATAATGTAAAAACAAAATATATATATCTATCAGACCTAAATTAAAGGTGCTAACTAAAGTTTTGCTCAGACCTGAATTTCTAGGGGTGTCTACAATATTTGTTAGACCCTCTTAACAATACATGTACATATTAATTAGTTCAATTATATTAATCATTACTAGTACCAACTATATCTAACGAGTTATAAATTTCCTTGGACTTAATATTTATTTCTAAGATAATTGCAATGGTAAATAACTATTTTTACTGATTGTTATTAACATCTAGGTAGCTGTTATCATCAGAATAAGTTATTCCACTCAAATTTAAAATATTTTACGTTTTACTATTGTTTATCACAAAATGTGATTTATTTTTTACCACATTATTTCGAAAAAATTACGTTTTATTCTAGTACAACTATTCAAATATGGCTCTATGCTTTAGGACTTAAATTTGAGGGCCCTAATTTAAAAATGTTAGGAGCTGCTCAGGCACATCCTGCATCCCCCATAGGCACGCCTACGTGATCATAATATGCATTTTACCAGACTGATTAAAATTGCTGATGCCTGTTTTATATAGGTAGGTATTGTCATAAATATTACAAACTTTGGTACCCATCAGTATAAAATTAAAATTACATTTTACAAACATTTATTACATGGACATATTTATTATGTAGTCTGTCTTACGAGAGAAAGGTACTGTTTAGCGCATGTAGACTGATCTCCATACGGCTGCTGAACCATCAAATTCCTTCTTTGTGCAATATATGTATTTAAACAAGCATGTGCTTACTCGCTTGTCCCAGAGGCTAGCTCACGTGTACCAGGTAGTGGTGATGATAAGGCGGTGTGAGGTGTGCAGGATGTGCAAGAATGATCGTAATTTGTCGAATAGAGGTAGACGCAATACTTTTCTCTTAGGCAGACTATATGTTAATTATTAGAATTTTCAACAACATACCTATATGACTTACCATAAAAAACATTTTATTGCGAATTTAAAGTAAATATTTTGAACTACCCAACTTGGCATCAAAAACTTATTAATATAATAATATTAATTATTTAATTAAATTCACAGCTAATGTTAAAAACTATTCATTAGGTGCATTTTGAAATATGTTTCAATATTAATTATTTAAATTTATAAGTGGATATTTTTTAAACTATTGATCTATTTATTTAAGTGGCTACATACACAGGAAAAATAAAATTCAGAAAATTAGATATCTTGTTGTAAAAGTTCCATGACCATATTCAAAATGTAAATTAATGTTAGTCTTTTGTAAAGATTAATTTCAATTGTTACTTATTACATAGACAATGGTTATGCAGTTTCATAGCAAAAAAAAAAATATTAATCTAATAAGTTACTTAAGTTTAATGGACCACTAAATCAAGTTTAAGGGACCTACCTCACTATTGACGTATTAAATGTTAAGTAATCATTTATACAACCTGACAGTAATATAGTTTGATAATATTATAATGTAACTATTCACTATTTAAATAATATAAAATAAAAATGTGTATTTTTATTAACCAAATGTATTTACTTATTTAGCAACAACAACCATTTATTAGCACATTGTCAACAGCTAATTCCAACAACTACCAACCTGCATCCGTCTCTGCACCAGTCGTGACAAATGGTACAGAAGAAGAACCAGAAGCTAAAATACCAAAACTTGAAGGTATTGTATTTTGAGTTATTTTCAAACAATTTATTTATTATTTTGTTTTAAGATATGGTACTGAAATCCTTTTTTATAGACTATAAATGTCCATATTATATTTGGGTGCATATTAGGTTTATCTAATAATTTCTTTGTATTTCAATAATTTGTTTAGGTTTAAATAGTCTTTTCATATCTATATTTTATTAAAAACTATTGTAAATCAATTTGTAATTATTAAAAATAGTACATATAAAATTTTAATAATAAAAAGAATAAAAGTCATTTAATTAATAAATATTTGTATACAACCTAAATAAAAAAAAAATATTTAACACCTTTAAACTCAAAGAAATAACTTAAAATATAGATTTTTTAAACTAACTGTTAAAAAGACAATCTTTTCTAATACGATTCTATTCTATTTTATATTATTTGAACATCAGGTTGACTGTTTTTAGTTAAAGTTAATTCTCTTATGAAATATAATTGATTTAATACAAAATATAATATAATTATCTAGGCTAATAAATAGGTTAAATGGCACATATTTTAAAATAAATCTAACAAATATAATCTTTACCAGTTAAACTAATCAATATTCTTTTTTTTTTTTTGAGATGTTCCAGGCGGTTTACTGATAGCACTAGTCTATACGCTTCTCACACATCAAAAGATTAAATTACCTAGTTTGTAGGGAAGGGTGTGTACAATACTTATAAACATTTATTTTCATGTAATTATTTTTTTTATGTATAATTAACTAACTTTAATTCATCTAAATGTTCCATTTTATTAACAAACAGAACAGAGAGCTATTTGTGACCCAATAATATTTGGGGTATGCTAATATTTGCAAATTGAATCATATTATTTTATGATGTATTTGTTTCTCAAAATTGTTCTTATTTTCTTCGTCCAAAAAAAGTATTTAAATTATTTCACATTAGTTTAAGGTTTAATATTTATGGAATTATACATATATAATATATATAAGTATATCAGAACTAAAAAAAAAAAATTATATTTACTTACCAGAAAATCATCATTAAATTTGTTTTTATAAATATTCAATTGCCACAGAACATTCGTCAAAATTTCCAAAAATTTAGCAACTTTTTCTTATTTGATGACAACTTAAATCTTATAAATATGTTGACAAAGTAATTAGTAGGTTAATAAAAATACTGCTTTATGGTTGCTAAATTCTTTTTTTTTATAATGATTAAATGGATGTAGGTAAATTTTCTAGAATCATATTATTCATCCAAAATGTTGTGTTTGTTTTGGATCAATTGATTTCAGTTTTGGAGTTAACTTTCAAATTGGTCCATTGGGTAGGCCTGTGGTTGTTTAAAAACGTTGTAAGTATAATTGACGACTAAATTAGGAGAATTTAAACATTTATCTACTTTATATTTTATTTTGGTTTGTTTTTGTTTTCGTCATGCTCTTCTGTGTTGTCTCCGGACGAATATCCCTCTACTAGCAAGTGCAGCCACCTGAGCAAGTCAGGCCTACTACCCGTTGCGGTTAAGGTCTCTAATGGAAACACAATATGTTTGCTCATATCTTAATGGTGTTATTTAATACATATTAAACATTCAGCAAATAACATAATATTTTAATTAAAAAAATTTACATTAAAAGAATTAATAAATTGCCTCTACATATAAATCTTATTTCCTTGTATTCTAAGTTTTATTAAAATCTTTTGCTGTTTGTTTATTAAAAATATAGTTTTTGCAACTTTGTATAGATATTTTTAAAAAACGACATGTTTTAAACATTTAGAAAATTTATTTATGTTAATAATTTTTTCTCTTAAGTGCAAGTATATTAACTATTTGCTGAATACTATTTTATAAAAACATATTTCTGAAATATTATAACTTTTAATTATGTCAGCTTAAAATATCTTAGTTGCATAAATTATTTGATATATATTATATATATAATAAATTGTATTCTTTTTCAGGAAATTCTTTCTTATTAAAAAATAAATTATTTCGACGTTCAATGTTTATATCCTCTTGTGTTAAATTATTTAATTAACATGTTTTTTTTCTTTCAGTGAATGGAAATGCATCATTCACTACTGCACCGTATGATTTCAACCAAGTTGGCACTTTAATCTCAGGTACTTAATTATTTACTTACTATAATTTTATTTAAATAAGAATTTAGCTTATGTACCATTTTGAATTACTTAATTATTTGATTGAGTCAAATACGCAGTGTAAGCTGTATTTTTCATTAAAAATAAATATGTATATATCCTATAAGTTTAAAATGGTATAAATATTAATTTTTTCTCAAACACAAGTTAAGTATTAAATTATTAAAATGCATGTGATGAACTTGATTATGCATTTAAATATTAAGTGCTTAATATTCTTGTTATCATTATATTTATTTTTAGAGGATATTTGTTGTTTTTCGTCTCATTGTTAAAAACAGCTTTTCATATTTTGTAATTTTGTTTGATGTTGTAGATTATTGAATTCTAATAATAACATAAGAAAATATTGTTTGATTGTGGTATAATATTAAATTAATATATGATTTATAGGTCCTGGTTCAAGACTTGGTATTTTAGGCGCTCTTGCGGCTCCCTTAATCAAATTGAGTACAGAACAAAATGAAGCTGTTGCCAAAGCAAAAAAATATGCTATGGAACAAAGTATTAAAATGGTGTTAATGAAACAAACATTAGCCCACCAACAACAACAAGCCAAGTCATTTCATCGTCACCAAGCTTTAATATTAATGTGCAGGTAAATTAAATTTACACATTTTTGTAGAGTATTTCAATTCAATAAATAAACAATATGATGTAAAATAATATACAATATTGAGAGCTGGTTGAGACTAATATCTGTTAACATATATTGTGTTTCCCTAATTAGTGATTAATTTGCTGATAAGATCTGATTGTTTTAAAATTATTTTCAAAGTATATTTAATTTGTATTCAAATCAATGAAGTATGTTTATTTAATTTGACATGTTATGTTTAGAGTATATGTTGGGAGTATTAGTTTTGAACTTAAAGAAGACTCAATTAAACAAGCATTTTCACCATTTGGTTGTATTAAATCAATTAACATGTCTTGGGATCCAATCACTCAAAAGCACAAAGGTTTTGCATTTGTAGAATATGAAATACCAGAAGCTGCTCAGCTTGCACTTGAGCAAATGAATGGTGTAATGCTTGGTGGTCGAAATATTAAAGTTGTAAGTAGCACACACATGTTCTTATAATCTTTTAAACCTAGTAATATTGTTGGTTATGAAAAAAGTAACAAATAATTAGAAGCTTTGCAGTTAAAAGTCATTATAATATGTATAGTACTGTCTTTGATTTAGGTTGGCCGTCCTAGCAATATGCCACAAGCACAATCTGTTATTGATGAGATTCAGGAAGAAGCTAAACAATATAACCGTATTTACGTAGCATCTATACATCCTGACTTAACTGAAGATGATATAAAAAGTGTATTTGAAGCATTTGGCCCTATTAGGACGTGTAAACTTGCACAAGGTAGTACACCAAACAGACATCGTGGCTATGGTTTCATTGAATATGAAGGTCGCCAAGCAGCCATTGAAGCAATATCTTCAATGAATCTTTTTGATCTTGGGGGCCAGTATTTAAGAGTTGGGCGTGCCATTACTCCTCCAAATGCTCTTCATGTATGTTAAAAATATTTATAAATTAATGAGATACATATTTTAATAAAGATATTTTCAGGGTCCTTCATCTTCAAGTCATATGCCTACAGCTGCTGCTGTTGCAGCTGCAGCAGCTACAGCAAAGATTCAAGCGATGGATGCAGTTGCTACTAATGCAGTTTTAGGTTTAAGTAAATTAAGTTCTCAATTAGGTGCTCAAACAGCTGTCTTACCTGGCTTACAACAGTTACCTACTACATTAGGCATAACTCCTCCTGTTCCAGCCGCTACTATACCACCACCAGGAATTGCTATACCACAACAAATTAGAGCTCCAGTACCAATAATACCAGGTAACTATTTTTCTATTCTTATATTCATGTAACCAATAAAGCATAAAGACTAAATACAATTAATTTTTATCATTATTATTTTTTAGGAACCACAGGATTGAGTCCAGTTATGCAACAATCAATACCTCCACCAGCACTTATAAATCCTACTCAATTGGCTGCCCCTGTAATTCCAACAGTAACAGCTGATGCACTAAAACGGGCCGATCAACAAAAAAAACAAGAAGAATTACAAAAAAAGTTATTGGAAGAAACTGAACCTCAAACATTACAACAACAAGAAAATATGTCTATTAAAGGACAAAGTGCTAGACACCTTGTTATGCAAAAATTAATGAGGAAAACTGAGGTAAATGTGATTACATTTCAGTCTAGTCTCACCAAACTTAATTTAATCTATAAGACTTATGGCACTAGAATATAAATAGTTAGGTTTTAGTTAGGTATTTGGCTTTCATAAATTTACTTCATAAAGACTGTTAGATACTTTAGATTCTGAGCTTAAAGTGTATTGATTTTATAATGACTATATGTGTTTTAGAGTAATCCTAACCTTGGAGTATTTTTTACTTCAGCATCTTTTCTAGTAAAGTGATTCTGGTTGGTACTTCTGTGGGTCAAAAGTAAAAATTTCTCAATAGTTTTTAAAATTGCCAGTAAAAACAAACAAACAAATTAAAAAGGTTGTACATAACTGGTTTTTTAAATTCAATTTTATTTTATGTTGTATCTTAAAATCACAGAAAATCACAGAAATACCCAAAATTTTTTGGTTAGAAATTCATAACAATTTTCTATATATACCTAAGACATTTAGCAAAAAATAAAAGCTTTTCCAGGAGAGAAAAATACATTTTTTTGAGTAATTGAAATTAATCATTGGATAGTATTCACCTGTAAATTAACAAATGCTCTTATTTTGTTGTAATTAAAAAACTATTAACCATAAATACTTAAAATTTTCACCAAATATTTATTTTATCATTTTCTATTAATTTTAAAATGTTCAATATATTTTGACTAGTTTGAGCCATTTATTAATTTTCATTCAGCTCAACCATTCATTAATTCATTTTCAAATTCTATTTCCTTTTTTCTAAAAATGTTAATAAACAAATTTGAGTAGAAATGCTTGATAATTTAATACAATGTTCCTTATAATTAAGTTTTTATGATTTTTTATTTAATTTTTGAAAGTGTTGTCCAATTTTGATACAAATTTGTAAAATCTATATAGAGTATTAAGACTTGTGATGACCTGGTGTCTGAGAGGAAATTTTGTTATAGTGCTGTATTATCCTTCTGTGATATTTCAATTTGTATTCAATAATTAGTTATGTTGTGTTAAAACTAAAACTACCTTACTAACCTAGTTAATTTTTGTTTAGTTTAAATACTTATAAATTTATTAAATTACTTATCACCAACAAATTTTCCTATGCTCCACCTAATATTTATAGGATATTACATGAATGGCTTTGAGTATATTATACATTTTCTAATAAAATTCTAAAACTTATTATTATGAAAATCAAATTCTATTATTTGTAACATATTGTAAAAAAAATGTATATATAGATAATAATGAAGTTAGTTATTGTTTGCAAGCAAACTTTCATTCATTGTAGATTAAACTATTACATTTATTTATCTGTTTAAATATTAATATAGAGCCGAGTTGTTATACTCAGAAACATGGTTGGCGTTGAAGATGTAGATGACAGTTTACAAGAAGAAATTCAAGATGAATGTAGCAAGTAATTAATTTTTTTGTTTTTTATTAATGACAGATTAAGGATTTGTTAAAATTCCAATATTTTTAAATTGCAACAGTTAAGAATGTGGTATACTAGGTATTAGGCTTCTGCAATGGTATCGTGAACTTTTTTTCCATGTAAACTTTTAAATACTGATAATTGAAATTTATTTCTTTCTAATGGCTTCTAGCCATTGGGTATTCAATTTACTAGAAACAAACTGATTGTATCCACAGATCTTGTATAATATATTTTAAAAACAATTTGTCAACCAGTCATTTATCGATAAATTGTTATATCAACGTAGTACATAATTTATATTTTTTAATGGTTTCGAGATGCCTCCTATGCATAAGAGATGGCAATCTCTTTTTATGAATAATTGCCTACCTAAAGAAAAAGGCTTACTGTTAAACCCGTGACTATCTGTTGTCACTTCTGCCTTATTCTACTCAGCCATTTTATCCCACTTATTATTGGTAGTACATTTATTTAAATTGTGTATTATTAATATTGTTTTTTTTATTTTACAGATTTGGTGTTGTTGAACGTGTTATAATTTATAAAGAAAAACAATCAGATAGTGTAGATGATGATTCAGATACAATTGTAAAAATATTTGTGGAGTTTACACAGATGTCAGGTAATTTTTTAAGAATAATTTACATTGGTTTAGTGGTAGTAATATTAATTAATGATTGTTAATTTTCAGAGGCTGAACAAGCTCGAGATTCCCTAAATGGTCGATTCTTTGGCGGACGTTTAGTTAAGGCAGAACTTTATGATCAAGCATTATTTGACCATAGTGACTTTTCAGGTTGAATCAGTTGAATCAGTCCATTATTATAATTATATGTATATTATTTTACTTCACTATTTAGTTATTTTAATATTAACGCAAATATATTATATAACTCATTATTTTATTATGTATCTATAATATTTTGTAAATAAAATTCTTTTTGCAATTTTCATTAATTTAATTTAAAAATAAATACTACTGCAGTAATTATGCATAGTATCTGTAAAATTATAAATTTTATAGATTTACTTGACAGAATGGTAAAACTATTGTATATATACAATATTTATGTAAATTAAAATATTGATTAAATTAATCACTTATATTTGCATAAATTATAAATATCTATTAGTGTACTACACTTTGATATCCGGTTAGTATCAAATGTTTTTGAAAGTTGGTAAATTAACTTAAGGCTAAGAAAAGAGTTTTTATAGTTCACTAAAGGCCTTATTAAAAATATTTGTTCAATTAAAAATTATAGATAACATGAAGTTAATAAGAGCACTAAGCACACCTAAAATCTATTCACACAGTTGTTAGTAATTATTAATTACTCGTGGAAATAAAATATTATGTGTGTTCAGTTTAATTCTAAATTTAATAAGTACTATTTAATTTACATAATAATCAGTTATTACTTAATAAATAACAAAAAAATATATATAATAATATTAATAAATAAATATATATATTTTTTTATTTGATTAAAGCTGTAACAACAGTGGTTATTGGCTCATACCATTTAACGGTAACCAATAACAAAGGTTTTATTAAACTTAATTATGAAAATAATGTATTTTACTCAAATTCTAAAAAGATAATCAAAACTTAAATAATACACAGCTAACATTTTTTTTACAATATATTTTACATATAGTTTAGTTGTTGACTAAAATTTATTTTATTTTACTTTTTAAATTCCCAGGCTGTCTTTCATATTTTTCGGACATATCAGGAAAACCTTTACTATTTTGTTGATATTCTGTCTCATTATCTGTCGAGCCTGGAAGTCTAAATTTTTGAGCAATATTCTCAGCATTAATTTTCTTCATATTTGCAATAGCTTCGTTATGAGCAATTTCCTCTTGAGTTGGTGGTTCATCGCGTCTTCCTCTTAACCACTGCGACCATTCAGGTGTTGGAACACCTGTTTCTTCATCAACTGGAACAAACCATCTTCTTGGCAATCTACGGCCACCTTGAGGATCGGCTTCTAACTCAAAATACTTATTACCTTGTGCATCAAAACCAATAGGTTTTTCTTTCAGTTTAGGTTGAAGAGATTTTAAAAAATTATTAAACACTATTTTCCACAAACGACGTTCAGAGGGCATATTAAATTTGACAACAATATCAATTTGTTAAATTTGTACTTGATTACTGAACGATTAATATGAACAGTAATTTTTAAACTGTATAGGCTACAACAGCATTCACCTGCAAAACAAATATTATAAATAAAGCATGGTATTGATATTCTTATCAGAAATCACAATATTTTGAAATTATATTTCTGTAATATATAACTTATATTAATTAAATAAAATTCACTATTATTAAGTCAGATTACATTTTACTTATGAAAATCAAAAAATGTATAGGTAGATTTGTAATTACTATGCAAAGTGATGTAACCTATTATGCTCAAATTTAAAAATTTTAGGTACGTAGGGAATTTTCAGAACCCAATAAAAATGAATTTTACTCTTTATTATACCACAAGTTATTTATTTATTAGAATTAAACGGGTGAGCCCAGTTACAATATACATGTGAACAAAAATGAAAAATGTTTACATATATGAACTAGATGAGGGTTGTTATGTACAATAAGTTAATTAATTAAATTACCAATATATAAATTAAAAAGAACAATAAAATTACAAAAAAACAAATCAATGTTGAAATCATTCACATACTGCATAGATCTAATCAAAGCAGCGTTTTTACCATAAGAGGTACGCTGGAATGGCACATAAAAGGTACAGGTTTGTCTAGTCGTATGACCAGGAACCAAAAAAGAAACGTTTGACAGCAGATCTGGACAGTTAACATAACCATTTAAAAGTTTATATAAGAAACAAATGTCATGTTTTACCCTTTTGACCTGAAGAGTATTCATGTTTAAATATGATAATAATGGTTCATACGAATATTATATATTATATTGTATTTATTATAATTTTATGAAATAAAAACAACAAGATTTTTCAAAATAAATAAATTTATATAATATTATGTATATATATTAATAATAACAATTAATGACTAATAATAATTTAAATTTTATAAGACAAGGGATACTGATCGTTTTTAAGGAATTCAATAATTTTATAATAATTTTTGATGTATTTAAAAATGTTAAATGTGTGCATAATAAGTGATAGCATTACACACTAATTACAAAAGTATGCATTTTTTTAATTTTCATAATCAATTAGTATTATACTTAATTTTTTTTTTAATTTTTATTTTTTTCCTATTACCTATGTACCTATAATGTACTGTTGGTTGTTATTAGTTATTACTGTACCTGTGGGCTATACGATTAAAACCAATACTATTACTAAATACCAGTCCCTAAAATATCCAAATTTTTGTACTACACACATAGTCCAAAGTCAGTCAAAACTAAATTAAAAATTAAAGCTCTATAACCTATTACCGATGTTTATGGTCTTCTTCGACCAATTACACATAATATAAATTAAATAAAAATATGTATACATTTATACAATAATTATATTATTATTTATAAAACTCATTTTTAGTGTATAAAATGCATGAAAATAATAACACATAATATCAGCAAATAAATAAAAATTAATTCTTTGAATAGAAACGTTTTTGAAGAGTTTCTTTCAATAAAAGTTTTTCTAAGAGAGGTGCCACTTTATGTGAGCTTTCAATGAGGTAGCACTTACCATTTACTTTTAATAAAGACTGTAAGAAAGAGCATAAGGGCATGATCGTATGGAAGTACAAAACTACGAAGCACAAAAACCCAATTACTAAAATATGTCTATTATAAACTGTGCCGTGGTACACTAGTACTGTCTATAATGTGTCTGGGTAGTAAAATCGAGTTTAAATAATAAAATCATCAGCAGCTATTGCAGTTATTGCGGTTATTTCTAGATAAATCCTAGTATACCCTAGTATACTCTCAATAAGAATGAATAATAATAATTATAATATGAGTCTACAATATGAGTAACAACACGAAATATTGTTTAGGTACTGTGTGTCTGTGTAGAATTTGGATAATAATTAAAATGTGGTTTGGCAAAAAACCATTAAAATATTTTAAAAATGTGAAGCTATAAAATTGTATATAATATTATTATAAAGGTTTAATTTGAATAACACACTTTTAAATTTCGTACTACACACTACAGTTTTTGTACTACACAGGGTGTGTTGTACTACCTACAATTTTAAGGACTGCTAAATACTTAAAAACTAAATACTAGGCCACAACAAATACTTACCAAATACTGAATAAGACAATACGATTAACTTCCTATTTAATTATTGCTGCATCGATGAAGTATGAATTTCTCCAACTTGTATATTTTATATTTATATTATTTAATTTTCATTTTTATACATTAATGTTCAATACCTACAAAATACATAGTAATTTATATTTAATAAATTAATTGTAGATGTATATACATGAATTCATGTAGTAAGTCATGAGTAATTTCATATTTGACATTGATAAGAACTTATCACATAAATAATTTATTCAGATATCAACCACAGCAGCTGCAGGCTGCAGGAACGGTAATACAACAATTTCTATTATTGTCCTACGCTACTATCACAGAAAGGTGAAATAAGAATAATATTATTATTTATAAAGATGATAATATAAGTTTATTCTGATACTGCGGACCACGATGTGGAGAATAAATAATTATGCATATGTATCTGTGATTAAAATATAAATAAATATACAACTAATAAACATTATATTTTTTATTGATACTAAATAGTAAATACTAAAATACCTATAAAGTTCAGTATTCAGGGACAGCACAGAACAATCAACAATGGTGACCGTCAATAAAAGTTAACTATGTGTAACTCTGTTTTTTTTTTACTAATAAACCCTCAATATACACCTTATATGATATTTTTTTGGTATTTTAGTATAACATGCTAATGTATACAATATTTTTATTACAGAATTCAAGTATTTCAAATCATAGTAACTGTTTTAGATAACTAAACTGATTTTTTATTTAGTTACTTTTATAAAAAAACTAATTGATTGATTTAAGTTAGTTACAAGTATGTGGGTGTCTACAAAAAAAACATTTAAAAACGCTCCAATGTTTTTTCAATTCTGTCGAAAAGATGATTTTTGTATTTTTAGTTTCACCAATATGAAGCAATTATACTCAAAAGAAATACATGAACCTTCATTTGCTGCAATTTTTTCAGTGAGTGACTATGAAAATTGATTCATCTTAAAAGTTAATTTCAAAAATATTCATTCAATAAAACTAGAAAATTTCATAAATGAAATTATTAGTTCAACAATTGATAATTTAAACTTTTTTCAGTCTAAATCACATTTTACATTTGTATAATAACCAATATTGCCAATATTTTATGTACAGAGATTTATGGTTATTATTTTTGTTATATTTGCCTAGCCAACCAATAAAATTGAAGTTGATGTTAAAAATGTTGTTGAATTTTTGGAAAATATTGTAGAGATGGATAATGTAAATTATAACTTTTATCCAGACAAATTGAATATCAAGACAGATCTGACCATTACTCTATCAGATGGGTTTCCTCCATTTAAATTGGAATTTGAATCGGAATTAAAAGATGAAAATATTGTAAGTATAGACTATTGAGTGTATGTAATTACAGTTACTGCGGTAAAATGGTAGAAAAATGTATTAAGTAAATCACTCACACTTCATTCAATCTATGCCATGGATAAAAAATTATATTAGCCATATTCTATACTAAACTTAGATTAGAAGAAATACCTTAGGTGGCTCATGGTTCGTGAGTATTGCTATCGCAAAAAAAAAGTTGTCATAGCTGTAAAATTCTTAAAATAGATTTTCGGGTTCCTCTATAATTCCTTATTTTTGTTTTTTTTTAATGTATATAATGGATTAGATACTCTTTAGATAGATTTGTACAATTAGACTCTTATGGCAAAGAGTACAATGTCGGGCCTATTGCGTTTACCATTGCAAAAATTGAAAAAAATATTTTTTTCATTATAACATTTCATAATTAATTTTATATTATGTGCCATTTTTCATTACTTATTTTGTATTCAGCATATTTTAAAACAATAAATAAAACAATGTTCATTATTGTTAATTTCTGAAAACTGCACTCTAAATGCTTATGTCCATATTTATCTAAAAATATTCATGGGTTTTTACTTCTTGATGTAAATCTAAACAAAATTTATATAATACTCTTGGACAATTTTAGAATTTATTCACATGTATTTATATTTAATTATTGTTTAATGTACTTCACTATCAAGTATTTTTTTGTTCTTAGTTTTATTCCACATTCACTTACCCATTATTAAAAATAATAAAACAATTAAAACAAAACCAAGAAGACTTATTCAATATTATTCAAAAAAAGGATTTGGAAATTTCAGAATACAAATTAAGAGGAGGCAATATTACACATGGTCTGTATTTTTTATAATTGTAATAAGTTAATGTATTCAAATGTTTATATCATAGTTTTTTTGTTTCTGGGTAGAAAACATTAAAACAGATGTTTTTGAGAAAGATAATTTCTTTATGAATACACTGTTGAATCATAAAGAATTATGTAATGAAAGCCTACATTTATATGAAATATATTCATCTCCACTTATTGAACAGTGCGATACCAGGTAAACATAAGTTGTTTTTTTTTTTTTAAACATTTATGAGACCATCAACATTATCCTTTTATAGACATTCTGATGAACACAAAGAGTTAAAGAGCATACCCACTATAGAGAAAAATGAAGAAATTCCAACAATTAATTCAAATAATAGTATTGACCATAAAGCTTCAAAGAGTTCAACTACGGTAGAAATAACACACCAATCAATAAATGTTAAAAAGCGGAAAAAATCCTCGTTCTTAAAAAGTCTTTGAAGGTAATATTTATTATGTAAAAATGATGTACAAAATAAAATTATACTTTTTTTAATCAAATCATTTATTGGCAACAAAATAGAATATTTAATAATTGGTCAGTCTAACCAATTATTATTACACATTTTATAAATTTGACATGTACAAAATGCTTATTATCTTAAACTAGAAAAAATATTTATTTTAAGAACCAGTCTCAATGTATTCATTCTGTGGTATCAAATGTTTAGTAATTTAATTAAAATTCAACATTTTTTAAACAATTATTGTAAATTAGTAGCAAAATGTTATGTTAACGGTACAATACTTCTAAACCATTGATTATTTTTGAAAATATAAAGTATCAATACAGTTGTACTATATTGTTGTTTAAGGTTACCTAAGATGTTCAAATATAATATTAAGAATAAGAAAATGGTAACTAGTTGTTTTTTGGCTCAATAATTGTATTTTGATTATTAGAAATAAATAAATGTGCATGTACAAGAAAAATAGAGTAAGATGACTTGAAAACATAATTGAGAAGTCTAAATATAATCACTGGTTTTTTGGTACTGAACTTTATGTTAAATAATTAAACATCTAAATTCATTAACAAAAAAAGTCAAATTTAAAGGTACTTAATATATTATATTGTTTGTAAATTCACATTTGACACCAACAGAATTAATTTTTTTCATATAGCAAAACCTAAACAACCCAATTTTAAACAATATTTATACACATACACACACATATATATATATATATATGATAATTATAAAATAAAATCAAATCTATATTGATAAATATGCTCAAAAAATAAAAATAATAAGCAAATTAAATATGAAAAATTATAAACTATTATGTAAATATTTCAGCTTTTAGAATAGTTATTATTTAATTTGTTTTATTGAAAATACATCTTAAATAAAAATAATATACAGCTGTACATTTAAACAAAAAATTTTTGTTTTATTATTAGTTATATTTTTATATTGTGTAAATTTTAAGTTTCCAAATCAATTTATAATTACAAAACAACATGTATAACAATTATATTTAAAACAAAATAATATCCCAAAATTAATTCAAATAAAAAATAAATTGGTGTATGTTTTGGTATGTATAATTTAATAATTCGAAAGAACGAACTAATAAGGAACTAACTTAATTAATCATATGATTAACATAAATATCTAAGTAAATATGTTTGATAATTTAAAGCGACATTTAATAAATAAGAAATAAAATTAGAACTTATACTCAAATTCAACATTAGTAACATCAAAATGTTGAAGATTTTCAATAATTAAAAATTCTTTTTCAAAGGCTTTCTTAAATCACAGATGGAAATCCATAGTTTATAGTCTGCCATCAAAATCTATATTACGGTTCACAAAATTGAATGATTTATAATTCATTTAATATCTACTTTATTATTTAAATCTAAAATAAATATTAAACAAAAAAATAAAATGGTGATATAATGTACGACTAGTTTTTGTTCATATGGATTGTCATTTCATTTTGTCATGACATTTTTAAGCAATCCCATTTTGCGTTGTAATATAACCAATATGTAATTTTAAAAAATGATATCAACTTGTGCTATTCAACTTTTAACCGTTTACTGAATTCTTCTTGTTGTCTTTCTTTCCATTCTTTTTTCGGTTTGTAACGTTTCAGTTGACCATCCCTGGAAATATTTTATTTTGATAATAAATTGATTTCAGAGATAATTACAATTATTCATTAAATGCACTAAATTATAGCCTATTATAATTTGCAAAACTTTTTAAAATTTCATTTCAAATACCATAAAGATTATAGAAAGACCTAACTGATTTTCAGAAGTAAAGTTAATTAAGAAATATTTTTTTGTAGAAAATTGAACTTAAAATATCTCTAGAAAATCAAAATCAAATTTCTATGCTACAGGACAATACAAGTACAACAATTATTTCGACTAAGTGTCTGAATTTAATTTGGAATGATGTTGAGTAATTTTTTCAACAATTTGTGTTATAGAATAATTTTGATTGATTTCAGATTTATTAATTTGTAAACAATTTTAATATTTATAAAATTTTTATACAAAATAATAAATAAAAAGATCAAAGTTGATATTTATAACAATTTATAGTTAACGAAAAATCTGTATAAATATTTTAGACACAATTAAAGATATAGCATAATATTATATCTAAATAATGATGAATTCAGAAAAAAATGGGTTAAATCATAAGTCAAATAAGATTTGTATTAGCTATACAAACTAAGTTAGAAATATAGTTGAAAATCCATTAAAATTTCAGAGGGGGGGCCTAACACTTAACATCGGTGTGAGACATAACGGCTTTGCCCTCGCACAATTATAGATTTATCAGATATTGAAGGGACTAATAAAATATTTGGGGAAGTGCTTAGCAGGGAGCCCCATTATTGTCTATTATTAAAACAATAATATCCAAGGTAAGGTTTACCTAAATAACATTTTTAACAGTATTACCAAAATTGTTCTAACATTTTAATTCCAAGCACTTCTAATTTTAATGATAAACTAGGTAACTATTGTGACAAATTCATATATTTGTTACTGATTCTTGATAGGTATAGAATTGTCTTACCATACTAGGTCAACAAGACCACCTTGATCAGCAATCACTCGTTTTACTCGATTTGCAAAATCGGCACCTGATTCATTTTCATTTTGATACATTGGAGGCAAGTACCATACATCACAAACAATAGCCCAGGATGTCATCATTAAATAAAGATGTTGAATCATTGTATATTTACTACTATTCCAAAATGCATCTCCAAACCTTGGATCATACTATAACCACACAAGTACAACATTTTGTAAATTATTGTTAATATTTAAAAAATAATAAATCAATTGCAAATGTCACTAACCTTAATAGCTACAGGGTATATCACACTGCCAACTTCAAAACTTCCTTTTTTGAACTGCATAACAGATGTGTTGTTGATGCACGTTCCTTCGGGGAATACTAATATTGGTGGATTAATTGGATTTGAGACATGTTCCCGTAGTCTAAAAAATGTAAAATTAATCATTTGATAGGCTGACATTTTCAAAATATTTAGACCAACTTTAACCTTTTTATACAACAACCCTATTCTTCACAGCATTCTACGGTACGTAGTATTGACTTATAAATTAACAACAACAATATATGCAATGTTTTTGCAAAAATTAGTTTAATTTACTGTACACTACTAATAGAAAATAAATGACTAACAGTAATATAAATAAACCATAAAATATCCTTAGAAATAGAATCTGACATGTAGTCTTTGCTCAGAATCATTTTTTGTATACAACGATTTATCATTGAATTTAAATGTAACATAATATCCATTACAATGACGAGGTTCAATCAAAATCTACTATGTATTCAGCAGTGTGAGTTCATTTCTTATTAACTACCTTCAAACTATAGCTATAACTGTAACTAGCTCCAATAATTAAATTAGCCAACCTATCTAGGCATAGCAATTATTGTATGACTTGCATATAGAATGTTAATAATTACAACTACAGTTAAAAGATAAGGTAAATTATTTTTTTTTAAATGAAAGGAATGATGAATCAGATTCTAATAAAAATTTGAGGTTTACTATTAGTTATTGTAACTGTAGTACTTTGAATATATTTAATTAATTGTACATGTGTTGTTTTGTCTTTATGTGAAGATAATCAATAATTTATTGATAACATAGTTATTATAGTAATCGGATAAAAAGTCTAAAAATACAAAATATTCTTTTCATTTATAATTATATAAATAATAATTAATAATATAATATATTCTATTTGATAACTATTCCAGATTCCAGTATTTCTTATACTTATTATTCAAAATAATATATGTTTTTTTTTATTGAACTTAAGTCCGGCGACTAAGACCATTAGCTATTATAGTGGTTATGAACTATGGTAGGGGTGAGGTTGGTACGGTAGGTTTTTTTTTACGATTGTTACGGTAGGTAGTAAACACGTGTATGTGTGGTCACCTATCCGGGAGCTAGTAAGTATGGTCGTTACTTACTCCCAGTCGCATTCCGTGACTGGTAGTAGCCAACGCACCAGGCAAAGCAACTAAAAATACTTGTGAATGTAATAATTATTATTATTGTGGACTGTAGAGTGATTTAATACATGTATTTACTATTTTTTTTTAATTGTTTATAACATTTGTAAAAGGTTCATATTTTTGAACTTTTAAATTGTCTATTATTTTAAATTTGTAACAATAATATTTCAAACTGAAGATATGTACCTGGACTTTTTGTCTAACTTTCTTCAAAACGGACTTTATGTCCAGGATTAAGTTATTATGTTATTGCAATAAATAACATTCAAAATTAGTAATTTGACAATAAAATATATTCACCTCATTGCAACAATTTCTCTGTCTTTGGCTTCAGATCGTTCAAACCATAAATGAGGAGAAGCTCTGGCTAATGCTCTTTGAAGGATTCCTAAAAACCCTCCATGTCGCTGGCCAATCTGGTATAAATAGAATATAAAAATGATTTGATTAAATGTATAGTTGTAGTATTATTATTAGAAGAAAATGATAGTTTATCCAAAACATGAATTTAAAATTTGGCTTATAGAAATGCAATGCTAAGTATGTAAATATGAAGTATTGCGTAGATAGATAAATTAGGGTTGCCGTTTGCCCAAATTTTGTATGAATACACTATTCAGTAACACTTACAGTTCTTGCCTGATAAGTGAAAAAATACTTGTGTATTAATATTCGTAATGAATATAACTAAAATAAATTTAAAAAAAATGTAAAACAAAATATATTTCTATCAAAATTGATTGGAATATTCAATGAATTTATAAACATCACTGAGATATGGCTAATAGAAGTCAGTGGGGTACTAGAGTGTATCATTTTATCTTATTCATTCTACGACAAACAATAGTAATGAGTAATAACTAAAGATTGTCAGTTTTGTGACATTTTTTTATAAGATGAGGGAGAGGATTACTACGGTGTTCCAAATTATAATTTTGAATAAATGACAACCCCATTGTAAATGAAATGACTGTTAGACAAAGCAAAATGAACTAATAATATATTAAATGTGCATTATTTTAATCATTAAATGCATGGTGTTTTCTAGGGGTGCTTCTTAAAATATAATGTTTTTGGATAAACTACTCTTAAAGAATTGCATTATGATAATAATGATCGTGCACTTATTAAAACGCACCAGAGCATAAGGGTTATCGCATGCCAACATTAGTACGTCAACTGGAGATGTATGATTGGCAACACAAATGCCTCGCTTTGGTAGGTTCTCGCGATTATGATAGGTGATGACTGAAGATAGTGAAGCAGCTAAAACTTGAAAACACATAATGGATACATTCTGATTCAGCCAACGTTTACCCATACTATCAGGCACAAAACCAACAATTAATGTACAAATCCACAGCCACATGACCTATTCACATAAAATATTAAAATTATCATATAAGTGAACAAAAGTCAGGTAAGAAAAAGATAATTTTATTTAATACAAAAAATCCACATAAATTGACCATGAGACTATTATAATATAAACAATCTAAT